GGGCGGAGGCCAGGGATGCTGCTGAACATCCCATAGTGCACAGGACAGCCTCCCACAACGGAGAATGGCCTGGTCCCAGGTGGCAGTAGTGCCGAGGCTGAGAAATCCTGTGTTAGGGGATAAACATCTCTGAAAGTGATGATTGCTGACAGCAGCAGAATTGTGGAGAAATACAATGGAGTGACCGAGGATGGCCGCGGGTAATGGCTGGACGGTCTGAGGAGCTCTGGATGCCCCCAGTTGTTGTTGTTGGTGGTGGTGGTGGTGGTGGTGGTGTTTTCTGAGGCAGAGACTCACTCTGCTGCCCAGGCTGGAGTGCAGTGGCGTGACGTCAGCTCACTGCAGCCTCTGCCCCTGGGTTCAAGCAATTCTCCTGCCTCAGCCTCCTGAGTAGCTGGGATTACAGGCGTGCACCACCATACCCAGCTAATTTTTGTATTTTTGGTAGAGACAGGGTTTCGCCATGTTGGCCAGGCTGGTCTCAAACTCCTGACCTCAGGTGATCCACCTGCGTTGGCCTCCCAAAGAGCTGGGATTATAGGTGTGAGCCACCGTGCCCGGCCTGGATGCCCCAGTTTCTAACCAATTCTTCTATCTCCAGGCCAAAATTGTGCGCAACGCCAAGGACACAGCACACACTCGGGCTGAGCGGAATATTCTGGAGTCAGTGAAGCACCCCTTTATCGTGGAACTGGCCTATGCCTTCCAGACTTGTGGCAAACTCTACCTCATCCTCGAGTGTCTCAGTGGTATGAGTGTGGGCCCAGGTGGGGGTCGGGGTGGGGGCAGGGAGCCAGCACAGGAAGCTCTGGGAGCTCTAGGGGGAAGCTCTGAGAAATGAGTCTGTGGGGGTTGGCTAGGGGGCCCCCAATCCATCCTACCCATCCACCCATCCATCGTTCATGCATCCCATCATTCATTCATTCATTCATTCAGCAAATGTCTGTCCAGCACCTACTGTGTCCCTCACCTGTGTTGGGGGTGGGTGGCATGGGGGGAATTTGGGTAGAAGGCCAGAGGCTGGTTTTGTCTCTTTCTGCTCCCTTCCCTGTCTTGTTCTCTCCTGTGTGCCCTGCATCCAGTCAGGTCCCCAGTCCAGCTGGTTCATTCTCTGCAGCGTCCTCCTCCATCCATCCACTCTCAGGGGCCTGGTGGGGTGGTCAGAGCACTTTTCTTTTTTTTTTTTTTTTTTTTTTTTTTTTTTTTTTTTTTTTTTGAGACAGGGTTTCGCTCTTGCTACCCAGGCTGGAGTGCAATGGCGCGGTCTCGGCTCACCGCAACCTCCGCCTCCCGGGTTCAGGCAATTCTCCTGCCTCAGCCTCCTGAGTAGCTGGGATTACAGGCACGCGCCACCATGCCCAGCTAATTTTTTTTTGTAATTTTAGTAGAGACGGGGTTTCACCATGTTGACCAGGATGGTCTCGATCTCTTGACCTCGTGATCCGCCCGCCTCAGCCTCCCAAAGTGCTGGGATTACAGGCTTGAGCCACCGCGCCTGGCTGGTCAGAGCACTTTTCTAACTGGGCGTAGGTGTCTCGCTCACCTGCTTTCTAGTGTCTCCTGCACTGAGCCTGGGGCTGCTCCCGGTCCTTCTATTCAGAGTCTCGTGGCTTGCTGCCCAGATCAAGCCTCACCCCTGGGCCCACTGTCCCCTGCTGGCTGTGAGCAGTCTTGGCCTGCTTTTCCCTCGGTTGGGCCAGATGAACCCTGTGAGCCTCTGCCTCCATGCTCTGCATTCGCGCCCGTCTGTCTCAGCATCCCCCTCAAGTCCCAGCAAACCTCATTTTCTCTGTTCTGCTGTGCATCCACTCTGCCTTCCCTGTCTCTTCTGTGAGATCTTTGAGCTAAGCTCCTGGAGCTGTGGCCTGGGCCTGGCATATGAGAGCCATCGTGTACATGTCTGTCTCCCCAGTAGACTGAGCGTCCTGAGGGCAGTGGCTGGGTCTCTTCATCCTGTCCCCAGCTTCACCCAGCACAGGGCCAGGCTCCGAGTAGGCGTCAGTAGATGTTTGCTGAATTGAATTGAATTCCCACGGCAGCTGTGTGAGGCAGGTAGGGCGGGAATTACAAGTCCCACTTTCCCCAAGAAGAAATCAAGACTCAGAAAGCGCAAAGGGCTTGGACCCAGCACCTGGCTGCTGATGTGTTTGTGTGGCAGGTGGCGAGCTCTTCACGCATCTGGAGCGAGAGGGCATCTTCCTGGAAGATACGGCCTGGTGGGTGTTACTCCTCCGCCCTCCCGAGGCCGCCGGGTCCCTGCCCTGCTCCCCCCTTTACCCTGTGTTGTTTCTGCAGCTTCTACCTGGCCGAGATCACTCTGGCCCTGGGCCATCTCCACTCCCTGGGCATCATCTACCGGGACCTCAAACCTGAGAACATCATGCTCAACAGCCAGGGTGCGCATGCGTGCACGTCAGCTGCATGCGGGGTCTGCCATCTGTGGGGAGGGTCGAGGAGCCTGTGGGTGGGGTGCGATCCCGGTCACTCCTCTCCGGCATTCTTCCTCAGGCCACATCAAACTGACCGACTTTGGACTCTGCAAGGAGTCGATCCATGAGGGCGCCATCACTCACACCTTCTGCGGCACCATTGAGTACATGTAAGTGGCACCTGGCTGGCCCAGGGCTCGGGAGGACAGCCCAAAGGGGCCTGGCCTGACTGACAGTTCCACCTGGACCCCAGGGCCCCTGAGATTTTGGTGCGCAGTGGCCACAACCGGGCTGTGGACTGGTGGAGCCTGGGGGCCCTGATGTACGACATGCTCACTGGATCGGCAAGTCCAGCCCTCTGGGAGGGGGAGGGGCAGGGGCGGGAGGAGCCCCCTCCTGGGGCAGGGCCAGGCGGGAGGCCCACAAGGCTCCTCTCACCTTCCTCCTCCTCCAGCCACCCTTCACCGCAGAGAACCGGAAGAAAACCATGGATAAGATCATCAAGGGCAAGCTGGTGCTGCCCCCCTACCTCACCCCAGATGCCCGGGACCTTGTCAAAAAGGTAGAGCTCCCTCCTCTCTTCTCCTGGGCCCTGCCAGCCACTCTGCAGGGATTCCTGAGTCTCTGGGCTGTGGGGAAGCCAGGGCCACCCTGGCCTGTGCGGTTTGCCTCTGGGAGTAAAAGGAGCCCCTACCTTGAAGTCTGAGATTGAACCCCGGTCGCAGCCCTGACACACACCAGCTGTTGTCCTGGCCCAGTCCCTAGGTTGAGTGCTAACCAGTGACACGCTCATGATGGGCTGGCCACTCTTCCATCAAATGCGAGCATCAGAGGTGTTGGGGGAGGCTGGGCAGCCACATAGGGAGTTGGCGCCTCACCGAAGCACCCTGGGGCAGTGCCGGGGCCTGGGAGGCTGTGCATAGCCTTTGTGGAGAAGGTGGCGTCCTTGACCAAACCTTGAGGGTATCCATAGGTGGGAGCCACACCCACAGGCATTCTCTCTCATGTCATCTGACCTAGCTGGCCCGGGGACGTGGGGACACATGGGCAGTACCTGCCAGACCCTCACCCTCTGTCCCCGTCCCACAGTTTCTGAAACGGAATCCCAACCAGCGGATTGGGGGTGGCCCAGGGGATGCTGCTGATGTGCAGGTGGGTTTGGGGCTGCCATCAGGGTGGGGCTGAGTCTCCAAGGGTGCGGGGAATGGGAACAGGGTCCTGGAGCAGAGTGAGTGAACAAGGGGCAAGTGGGGCGAGCCGTTAGTGGGTTTGGGGCATTCTCTACCCACAGAAGCACCCCTTTTTCCGGCACATGAATTGGGATGACCTTCTGGCCCGCCACGTGGACCCCCCTTTCAGGCCCTGTCTGGTGAGCAGCCGGCCTGGTGGCGGGTGGCTGATGGAGGACCGCACTGTGGTGCCTTCTGACCTCTTCCCACTCTGGTCGGCCCGTAGCAGTCAGAGGAGGATGTGAGCCAGTTTGACACCCGCTTCACGCGACAGACGCCGGTGGACAGTCCGGATGACACGGCCCTCAGCGAGAGTGCCAACCAGGCCTTCCTGGTGAGGGCTGGGGCCTGGGGCCTGTGGGATGAGGGCAGGATGGTGGCTGAGGATGGCGGGCGCTGAGTGTCTCGTGGCCCTGCCTCTGCCCCCAGGGCTTCACGTACGTGGCGCCGTCTGTCCTGGACAGCATCAAGGAGGGCTTCTCCTTCCAGCCCAAGCTGCGCTCACCCAGGCGCCTCAACAGCAGCCCCCGGGCCCCCATCAGGTACTGAGGGACAGGGGGTGTGTGGCTGGGGCAGGGGCGCTAACAGCAGGACGCCGGCTCGAGCCTTATGTGCCTTGGCCATGCCTGTCAGCCAGTGTTGGCCTCGGTGGCTGTGTCTACCATGAAGACCCCAGTCCCTGTACCCCTTGCAGCCAGGCTACCTAGATGGGAGCCAGTGTGCCCCAGCAGGTGAAAGGCTGCCTTCCCTGATCAAGTGCTGGCAGGCCCTGGCAGGGCCTAGGAGGCTCTTACTCTGCCTTGGTTTCCCCTGCAGCCCCCTCAAGTTCTCCCCCTTTGAGGGGTTTCGGCCTAGCCCCAGCCTGCCAGAGCCCATGGAGCCACCTCTGCCTCCACTCCTGCCACCGCCGCCACCACCACCACCACCGCCCTCGATCACCGCCCCTCTCCCCATCCGTCCCCCCTCAGGGACCAAGAAGTCCAAGAGGGGCCGTGGGCGTCCAGGGCACTAAGAGGCTGGGGCGGGGAGGGACACCCTTCAGCCCTGTCCCTGGGGCTGTGAGGGCAGCAGGATCCTGGGCCAGTTCCAGAGAGCTGGGGGTGGGTGTGAGTGCCTGTGAGTGTGTGTCTGCTGGGGCAGCTGGGCCCCTGAATCGTGAGCACGGAGGGCTCCAGGCTGGGACCGCTGGGGCCAGGGCCCTGCCGCCCCCCGCCCCCGCACTCAGCCGTTCCCGTGGAAGATTAAAGGGCTGAATCATGGCGCTGACCTGGCTCTTTCCCCTGCACTCCTGGGGGCAGGGGTGGGTTGGATCGAGGGAGAGGTCTCTGTAGGACCACAGGGCCACAGGCTGGAGGAGTTTTATTTCAAATGGTTGCCTGATGCCTCTGGGATTGGGGGTGGAGGCCTTCCCGTGGTGAGTAGGGGACACATGGACTTGGAAAATGATCGGGGCAGCAGTCTGAGGTGTGGCCATGTGGGGTGGGGGTCCAGTCCAGCCATGGCATCTTGGGAAGCAGAGGCACAGGGCTTGAGCGGCCGTGACAGGGACGGGACACCAAGACCGGCCTCTACAGTGCGGTGACATGGAGGCCGTGGGCCCCCACTGCCCTAGCACTGTCGTCCCAGGCTGCGCTGCCAGCAAAGGCGTGCAGGTCACTCAGCAGGGCCTCAGCACTGCCCCCTGCACTCGCCGGCCCTGGGGAGCTGAGGACCGGGTCCCCCTCTGCGTCACTGTCTCTGGCTTCCTCAGCCTGCACAGGGACCTGCTCCGGGCTGGGCTCCTCTCCACACCGCTGCTTGCCTTCCCCGGGGTCAGCCTGCAGGCCACCATCGGCGACGTCGTCATAGTCTGCGTCCTGCTCATCCTCCTGCCGCTCAGGGTCATTGTCTGGGGACCCCAGCTCAGCTCGGGCCTGCAGCCAGCGGCCCGGGGGGCTGGCCCAGAGCAGGCGCTGCGTGCGGCCCCACAGCGCAGCACCCAGGCGGGCTGGGTGGTAGTAGCCCCCCGAGTCACGGCTGAGGCGGCGCCAGGCCAGTGCCAGGCCAGTGGCCAGCAGCAGGAGCAGCAACACCAGCAGAACAACGGTGACAGAGCTGGAGCCCACGCTGTCCTCCTCGGCGCCACCTGAGCCCAAGGCCCCTGGTAGGGCCAGCAGCATCCCGAGCCCTAGGGCCCAGGGCAGAGCCTGTGGGAGACAGCAGGGGCTCAGAGGGCTCAGCAACGGGGGTGGGGGCCCCGTGTGGGGCAGGCTGGGTGACCAAGACCACTTGCCTTTTTTGTCTTCTGGATCCTCTTGGGACAGCCAAGCAGAAAAGCCCAAGGCCTTATTTGGTCAACCAAGCTCTGGCCCTATGAGATCAGCCCCCATCCCTCCAACCTCCTCCCTACCACTGCACCTCCCCCCACGGCTGCACCGAGCCGCCCGCCTGGGTACTTTGCACTGGCTGTTCCCTCTGCCCGGAAGGCTCCACCTTCCCCCACCCTCCCCTCCCCACGGCTGTACGGCTGTTCACCAGGTTCAAACTTCGCCCCCCCTCCGCCCCCCCCCCACTCCATGAGGCTGAACCTGACCTTCATCTCTCCGCTGATGTTGATCCCTGCAGCCCACCCCAGCACCCCCAGCGCTCACACTGCCTTTCTTTTCCCATGCCACCTAATGCAGGAGATAATTGTACTAATTTTGTATGTCTATCGTCTTTATCTACCTCCCACAATAAGCTGCTAGGCGACCGGGGCTTTTTGGGTCAAGCATGTTAGTAGGTGCTCAGTAAGTATGGGTTCAATGTGTCTAGGCTGCCTGGGTGGGTCGGGGAGGAGAGGGCGGGAGGGAAGGAGGCTGCTAGCTGGTGTCAGGCCTGGGATGGGGGATGGAGGGGCCTAAACCCACCTGGAGGCAACTGCTCATCCTCTGCTTGGCCAGGTCCCCAGCCAGGGGTCCGTGAGGCCCCTCTTCCTCCCTCCCACCACGGGGCTGCCCCAGCTGCAGGGTTTCCGTTCCACTCCCAGTCCCTGGGGGCCCCAGGCGAGAAGGGCCGGGGGCTGGCGCAGCTGCCAGAGGAAGTCTGCGGTCGGAACAGGCTAGATGGGGGGTGTCGGGGGAGGGGTGCCGAGGTACAGCCAGCCCACCCCCACCACCCCAGGCTGTCTGCCCAGGCTCCTGGAATGCAAGTTCCTGCTCACCGGAAGACCAGGTGAGGACCTTCCCAGGGTTCCTGAGGGGGGTCTGGCCCCGTGTGGGGTGCTGGGGGCCATACCCGGAGTCCCAGGGAGCCCAGCTTAGGTGAGAGAAAGGCCTAGCCTCTGCCACACTACTTTTAGGTTTCACCTCTGACCCAGGGCCAGTGTGGGGCCCTTCTCAGCTCCTGCTACCCAGATGTTCCAGCCCCGACCTCCTGCGGCCCCCATCCCAAGAACGTGGGGGCTCCAAGGCTCACCATTGGTCCACAGGCCCCTCTGCACCAGGCACCCACCTCCAGCTCTGTCTGTGTCGAGCGAGAAGTGAGCTCAGTGCTTGCCTGCAGCGAAGGGTGGCCCGTGTTTCCGCTTCCTGCCCACAGCACCCCACTTGCCCCTCCCTGCTACAGGACCCCTGGTCCACACCAGACCCTCCCGGGTCTCTCCAGGGGCGGCTGGGCTTCAGGGCCTGTCCTCCGAGGGAGAAGCAGCACCAGCTTGAAGCGGAATGCAGCATGTGTGCTCAGGTCCTCTGCCTCAGTTTCCCTGCCTGACAACCCAGGGGAGCCATATCTGTCGGGCTGCCCACTGCCCCCAGACCTTCTGCACATGTATGACTCATGTGACACCATCTGTCTCCAGGTTTCCAGACTTCCCAGCCCCACCCTCCAGCCGCAGGTCAGCCTGGCTTTTAGAAAGAGAATTTTATTTTGGAATGAAAATATAGAGCCCACCCTCCTGCTTCCTCTGGGGAGGGAGGTCTGGGCCGTGGTGAGGGAGATGGTCCCTCAGAGGTCGAGGAGCTCGCTTGGGCGTAGAAATCCTCCACAGCAACAATGAGGAAAGCTGGGTGGTGGCTTCGGCCTGGGCCTGGGATGGGTTGGGGTGGGAACTGACCCCTGCTGCCTCAGAGGCCCTGGCAGCCAGCCAGCCAGCCCGGTGCCACCAGCCAGCAGAAGCTGAGTGGGAAGGGGGCACATGGCTGTGCCCCTAGGCATCCCCGTTCTCCATGCGGCCCAGCTGCTCCTCTAGGCGGCAGATGCGCTCCCCCTGCTCCTTGACCAGTGCCCTCAGGGCCCGAAGCTCCTGCATCACCTCCTCCAGCTTCCCAGCCTCCTGTGGGGACGTGAGTGGGTGGGGAGAGGGCGCGCTGGTCAGGGGCTGCTAAGCCACTGCCCTCCCAAGCCCACCACCACCCCAGAGAGGGACAGCAAATGGCTCAGGGCCACATGTGGGGCTCCCAACACCACCCGTGCCTGGGGGTGCATACCCCGGCTCTGGCCAGGCTGCCACTGGGGGTGGCATCAGCAGCAGTGGTGGCAGATGCAGGGGCCCCCAGGCGGGAGGCGCCTGGGGCCACAGCGGGCCGTCCATCTGACAGCACATTGCGCCGGCTGATCTTCAGGTCCCGCTGCTTGCTGGGCACGTACGCCTCCCGCAGAGAGATGAGGATGGGGTCAGCGTCCCGCCCGCTCACCCACTCCTCAGCCTCCAGGGCTGCCTCAGGCCCGGCTGTGTCCGGGTACAGATCATCCTGGAAGAGGTCCGACTGGGCAGGGGGCCAGGGAGGTCAGGATCAGTTGGGAGGCCCCATCAGGGTCCCTCATCACTCCCTGGACCCAGGCTTACACTCTGTCAACCCACTCTCTCACAGCCTGGCCCCGAGGGACCTTTCTAAAGCTCAAATCTGGCCTTTCACTTCCCTTCTGGACACTGTCAACAGCTCACTCTAAAGCTTTCCCACCCTTCCTGGGCAAGGCCCCTGTCACTCCCTTCCCCTGCAAGCCACAGGGGCCACTATGTGGCTTTGTGGGATTCTGGGCCCATGGACTGTGAGCTCCCGGAGCAGGCCCCATCAGCTCAGCTCCGCTCCCCGAAATGTGCCTGGCACGCTGAAAGAGCACTCGGCCGATGCTGGCCAGAGAATCATGGAAGCGTGTTCAAGGCTCTGAGGGGGCATCTGAGGCCAAGCCACATGTGGCCCAGTCTCCGCTTCATGAGATTCCCCACTGCAGCTAGACTCCCTGTTCCTCTCCCCATTCCCACCACCATGCCCTTCGCCTGGCCTGTCCCAGTGGAAGGCGCCACCCCAGCTGTGCTTCCTGCCTCCTTCAGGAAGATCTCTGTGGCTGCCACTCCCTCCCTGACTGTCTGGTGTCCTCCTGTGGCTTGTTCAGGGCAGGGCCCCTGCTCCCCCTGTGTCTCATCCCCACTTGCCCCCTGCCTGGCACAGCCCCACAGCTGGCTGGTACAAGGGCAAGCTGGCATCTGTCCAGCTCACTGCCCACAAACCATACTAGGTCGTGTTCCACTGCCCTGGTCACAACGGCATGGCCTGCCTGCTAGAGAAAGGGGCAAGTGAGCAGAGGGATGGGTGGCCTCACCTTTCTTGGCACAGTCATGACAATGGGCTCACACTTGCGCTCATGCAGTTTGTAGAACCTGGGGATGCGAGGAGGAGCCATCAGTGGAACCCCTCCGCCCCCTGCTCTCCTGGCTCCCGGCATCCTCCACTTTCAGTCCTCGCCCCCAGACCTCCACAGGCTGACCCCTAAGGCAGCTAGACTCCCCACCCAAGCTGCCTCATGACAGTTCCTGTAGCCCACCCTGCTGCAAGGCCCCTGTGGCGGATTCTGCTCCCGAGCAGCCTCCGTGGCCTGACCTCTCACCCTTGGAGACCCCTGGCCTGGCCCTGTCCCGGAGTGGCCTTGGTGGCCCTCTTACCGGGCGATCTCGCACTTGCTGACCTCCAGGCCCCGCTTGGGCATGCTGCCCATGCCCCGCTGGGGCTCCTTGCTGGTGAATGTGTTCAGGAAGTGGATGTAGGGGGGCTCCTCGGTGATCTCAAAGTACCGGATGCTGGAGTCACCCTGTGTGGGGAGGGGGCTCAGCACCGGGCAGGCCTGTGCCCTGCCCCTTGCCAGCCCTGCCCGGCCCCACCTTGCCACAGACGTAGACCACGCTGGTGTCAGGGTCGTAGAAGGGCAGCAGGGCCCCATTGCTTGAGTCCAGTTCCTGCAGGGCCATGGGCTCCTCGAGGTTTTCCTGGCACATTGCAGGTAGTCAGGCCAAGCAGAACCCCCTCGCCCCCTGATCCCAGACTGCACCAGGACAGGCCTCACTGAGGCCAGCCAGCCTGTCCCCTAAATGCAGGTGGGCTCTCTCCCACCTCTATGCTTTTGCCCACACGAAGACCCCCCACCTGGCCCTCCTGGACCCACTTCATTCCCAGGGCCTCTTTCCCAGCCTCCTCCAGGCCTTAAGACTATGCCCAGGCCACGGAGCAGTGCTGAGACATACCCTGCTACGGGGGACCCAGGGTGCCAGCAGCACCTGCTCCCTGCTTAAGGGGCCCTAGAGGTCACTATGCAGAAGCAGAGAGGGCTAGGGGTCAGGGCGCTTCTCGTGCAGGGCTGGGAGGCTTTCTGGAGGAGTGGGGAGGCTGGCACTGGCAGCTGGGTGGTACAGGCAAGCAAGGGAGAGGAGGGGCCTTCCATTGGCATGAACGACATGGGCGAAGACACGGGCAGTGGGAGGCTATGGGGGAGTGGTAGGGCAGTTGGGCGAGCAGGGGGCAGGAGAGGAGAGGCTGACCCCTCGAGTGTCAGGCAGAGAACCTAGGAATCCCAGGCCTCTCCAGGGTGAACCCTGCTTGCCCAGCCCAGGGCGGAGCTCCCCAGGGTCGGCCCCACATCTCCAGCTTGCCCCTCAGGCTGGCCACTCACGGGGTCCCAGAGTGCCAGCTGCCGCTCACTCATTCGGCTGAAGCCTGTGGTGAACACCTTGCCGTCGGCCAGGAAGATGGCCCGCATGGGCCGGGCACCCTCGTGAGCCTTCTCCCGCTCCTGTTGGGGGGGACAGGCTGGTCAGTGCAGTGTCCCACGTGAGGCCCTGGGCCTGTCCACAGCCATCCGTGCCCTTGGGGGCCACGTACTGCCACCAGGGTGCCCCGGCGGGGGTCGATGATGCGCACGCTCTTGTCCTTGCATGCTGAGCAGAACAGGCTGCCGTTGCGGTTCCAGCTGACGTTGTAGATGAGGTCAGGGTGCAGGCTGTCCAGGCGGTACAGCTCCTCCGCCGTGCCCACGTTCCAGATGAGTACCACGTTGTCGCAGCCTGGCAGGTGAGGGCCGTCAGCTCGGGCCGGGCGGGCGGCAGGGGGCTATTAGCTCCCCAGGCCCACTCCGCCCACCACCCTGGGTCTCTCCAACTCTGAGGGCCTCAGCTTTCCCCTCTGTCAGGTAGGCTCTGGAGGGGCTGCTGGGATGTGTGGAGGGATCTGGGGGGGGGACCAAATGGAGTGCGGTGCAGACCTGCACTGAGCAGCACATTGCGGGCTGTTGGGTGCCAGGCAATGATGCCCACCCGCTTGGTGTGCCCCTCTAATACCACCACCGGCTCCGTCAGCGGGGAGGTCAGCCCGTTCTCTGGGATCTGCCACACCTGTGGTAAAGACAGGGCCACCAGGCTCAGTCCTCTGCTGGCCCTACTGCTGGTCCCCTTGAACCACACCTGTGACCCTGGCCCAGCCAGTCTGGTGCCTCACCATGACCGTACAGTCCTCTGAGCCACTGGCGATGACTTCGTCATTGTGGGGACACCAGTCGATGTCCAGGACAGGCCCCGTGTGCCCGCACACCGTCGGGTAGGCCTTGTCAATTCGGCCCGTCTGTGGGCACAAGGAGGTGGTCAGCGGGTTCCACTCCTCCCAGAGCCTTGGTTTTCCCTCCATGGAGTGGGAATGGCGTGCAAGTCCTGGCTCACAGGTGGCCCTGATGTGACTGTGCCCCATTCGCCAGGTAAGCAGGAAATGTCTGTTGCCTCTAACCCTGACTCTGTGGCAACAGGCCACTCTCTGTCTGTGCTAACACTTGAGACAATAAATCTGGCTTATAACGCCTGCCCAGCAGTGTGAGAAAGAGCAAGATAAGGGGTTCCAAGTGTGCAGAAAGGCCCAGCAGGGGTGGCTGAGGTGCCTCCTCTTCCCCAACCCTGACAGGACCCACCTTGCTTAGGGGGAGCACCAGAAAGGCACCCCCACCACTGGCTTCCACAATCACCGCCAGGAACTTGGGGTTGACGGCGCAAAAGGTGCTGTCCCAGGTAACACGGGACACGCGAATGTCCTCATAGCACTGGTCGTTCTTAACCGGCTGCCCGAACACATGGCGGAATTTGCTCTGCCGGACCACTTTGCGGAAGGACATGTCTGCGGGACAGGGGGGCCTGGGTCAGCGCAGCCCATCCCAACGCCAGCGCCCACCAGGGGCCGGGCCACCATCATCCTCCTGGGTCACAGTTTCCCCAATTACAGAATGGGGTCACAGGTGCAGAGCCTAGCAATGCTCTGAGGGGTAAATGCACCGCCCGGCTCTGACCGCCGCTGAGTCCTGAGGGGCTTCAAAGGATGCAGGGCCCCTCCCTGGCTCTGGTGTGTGTGCGGGGCGGGAGGTGGGAGGTGGCGGGGCTGGAGAGCACTCAGTTCTGCTGTAGGTCCCAGCCAGTCGGGAGCGGCCTCCCTCCTGCCCAGAGATTTGGAGGCTGGGTAATGGGAAAAAGAGAGGAGGCAGGAAAGGTCTCTTTACTGTGGGGCCGAGTGAGGCCCCGGTTCTGAGTCCCAGGGAGTGCGCAGGGAGCCCCGGCAGGGCCCCCAGGAAGAAACCGGGGTCGGGACGCAGCTGCCGGCCGCGAAGCAAACCAGAGCGACCTTGGATCAGGAATGCAGGGTGAACTAGGAGCCCAACTTCCAGGGAAACTCGCCTAGGAGAGGAGAGGCTGGGCGGCCACGGGGAGTGGGACTAAGTGGGGCGTAGGGTAGGGGAAGGGTTCCTGGGACCCGCAATCCCCCCTCAGCCCCGCCCCTGCAGCCCTGCCCTCGCCCCCAGCCCCGGCCCTGCCGCGCTCACCGGGGGCGCCAGGGGCTGCGGCACTGACTTCGGGCGGCTCCGGATCCCGGCCTCTGGGAAGCAGGAAGCGGGATTCAGGAAGTGACAGAGGGCCCCGGGGCGGGGGCGGGGGCGGGGGCGGGGCAGGGGCTCGCGATGGGGGGGGCGCCGAGGTCACGCGCGGAGGGGCGGGGCGTGAGGCTGAGACGCGCGGGGGCGCTGGGAGCGGGGCCGCAGGGGGCGGAGCCAGGGAGAGCCCCGCCCCCAGGACCCGATGGGGAGCCTCCCTCTGCAGCCCCTTGGGAAGAAGGGACGGGGCGGAGCCGACGGCGTCCACCGCGGAGGCGTCGCAGGTGCGGATGCAGCCTGGCCGCAGACCCGGGCTCCTTCGCCGTCCTGCTCCTCACAGTGGCATCCGCAGGAGTCTCCAGGATTGGGTGAGGTCCCGCCTTCCTGGCCCCACCCCCCGGAACGCACACCTCCAAGGCGACCCATTGCGGCCCCCAACAAATGTAGAATCTACACGGACAGTGGATGTGTTCACGTGCCTCCTTTTAAGTTATAAAAGTTCATGGTCTTGGCTAACAATGTAAACAAAACAGCAGGTGTTGGGATTTTTTTTTTTTTTGAGACAAGGTCTAGACGGGCTAGAATTTAGTGGAACGATCATAGCTCACTGCAGCCTCGACTTCGTAGGCTCAAGGGCTCCTCCTGCCTCAGCCTTCCAAGTAGCTGGGCCTACAGACCCTCACCACCACGCCTGGCTAATTTTTCTTTACTTTTTGTAGAGACGGGGTCTCTGTCACCCAGGCTTTTTTTCGTGTGTGTGTGTGTGTGTGTGTGTGACGGAGGTTTACTCTTGTCACCCAAGCTGGAGTGCAATAGCACGATTTTGGCTCACTGCAACCTCTGCCTCCCAGGTTCAAGTGAGTCTCCTGCCCCAGCCTCCTGAGTAGCTGGGATTACAGGCACCCGCCACCACGCCCAGCTAACTTTTTTCTTTTTTTTCCCCAGAGACCGTGTATTGCTCTGTCACCCAGGCTGGCGTACAGTGGTGGGATCTCTGCTTATTGCAATCTCCGCCTCCCACATTCAAGCAATTCTGCCTTAGCCTCTGGAGTAGCTGGGATTATAGGCTCCCACTGCTATGTCCTGCTAATTTTTTGTATTTTTAGTCGACACAGGGTTTCACCATGTTGGCCAGGCTGGTCTCAAACTCCTGACCTCGGGTGATCCACCCACCTCAGCCTCCCAAAGTGCTGGGATTCCTGGTGTGAGCCATTGCACCCATCCAGCAAACAGCAGAGCTTTATGGAGTGGAAGACCCAGGAGTCTCATTCTTCTGGGTGAGCACTTGTGCATTCTGCCGAACCTTCTTATTACAATTCCAAAGGGGGCCACGGCTGGCGAGTCCCTTGCACCTTGCCTTCCTTCCTCCACCATCTCCCCTGGAGATCCGTCCAGAGGCCTCTCTCTTCCTCTAGCCAGGTCCTGTGACAAGGAGCCCAGACTGGCCTCTCCAGATCCACCCCATCCTGTTCCACAGGTGGAGTGCGCCCCCTCCCTTAGGCCAGCGGCCACTTTCCTTATTCCTTCCTTGAGCATCGACTGCCCTGGCTGACCAATGGCACTGTCCCTTTCCCAGAAAGAGAGGGGTGGGAGAGGAAGGCGGGGAGAGCAGAGACCACAGGAGCCTTGTCTGTGGCTACAACAAGCCCCCGCTGTGTGTCTGAGGGTGACCTGGGGCTTGTACCCCATCTCACTCCCATTGCCACACCCGGTTGAGGAAACAGGCACAGAGAGGTGCGGTGCTTGCCTGAGGTCACCCAGCCTGATGCAATCCCCTTCGGCTTGGGTCCAAAGTCCTTGCTTTGCCTACTGCTCTATAAACCCTGGGGCTGGAAGGATCATATAGATGATCCCACCCCAAGGCCTGGCCACATCCTGTTCTCTCCGTCTGGAAGCACTTCCCTCCGATCCCAAAGAGGCTCCCTTCCCCACTCGCTCCAGGCCTCTGGTCACACATCACTCCCTCCTAGGGCTTTCCCTGCCCACTCCTTACACAGCCACTCTCTGGCCCTTACTTGTCCTGACTGCGTTGTTCTTTTTTTTGGAGACAGGGTCTCGCTCTGTTGCTCAGGCTGGAGCGCAGTGGTGCGGTCCTAGCTCACTATAGCCTCACTCTCTGGGGCTCAGTCCTCCCACCTCAGGCTCCCAAGTAGCTGGGACTACAGGCATGCATTACCATGCCTAGCTACTTTTTATTTTTGTAGATACGGGGGTCTCCTATGTTGCTCAGGCTGGTCCCACACTCCTGGCCTCAAGCAGTCCTGCCTCAGCCTCCCAGCACTCTGGGATTACAGGTGTGAGTCAGCATCTGCCTGTGTTCTTCAGCATCCCTGATGTCCTATCAAGTGCTTATTGGTGTATTTGTCGTGTGTCAGCTTCCACCAGGATGTCAGCAAATTGAGGGTAAGGACTTTGCCTATTTTCCTGCAGTATTCCCAGCACCCAGAACAAGACCCAACACGCCGGGCGCGGTGGCTCAAGCCTGTAATCCCAGCACTTTGGGAGGCTGAGGCGGGTGGATCACGAGGTCAAGAGATCGAGACCGTCCTGGTCTACATGGTGAAACCCCGTCTCTACTAAAAATACAAAAAATTAGCTGGGCATGGTGGCGCGTGCCTGTAATCCCAGCTACTCCGGAGGCTGAGGCAGGAGAATTGCCTGAACCCTGGAGGCAGAGGTTTCGGTGAGCCGCGATTGCGCCATTGCACTCCAGCCTGGGTAACAAGAGCGAAACTCCGTCTCAAAAAAAAAAAAAAAAAAAAGACCCAACACGCAGTATGGGATCAAGTAATGTATGAGGAATGAAATGAATGAGCAGCAACCCTGAATATAGAATTGAACAATATTCGTAATCACAACTCTCAGAATCAATGTCTGGTGCCCATGAAGGAGAAGGAAAGAAGGGCATCTCTCACCTGGAGAAGGAGTGAGTCTCCCAGATGGCAGCAGGAGCCTGGCCCCCATGGGATGTGGCAGGCAGGAGGTCATGGCTGGGCAATGTCTTGGAGGTAAGCCCACCTTCATGCCCATTTTCTCCAACACAAAAACCCTCCTCTGTGGGCCACTAGGAGAACTCCTCTTTTTTTTTTTTTTTTTTGGAGATGGCATCTCGCTCTGTTGCCCAGGCGGGAGTGCAGTGGCACGATTTCGGCTCACTGCAACTGAAACCGCCTTTGCGAAACTATGACTGAGAGTGAAAGAGATCTGACTTAATGACTCCATCTTGCTTCTAACCTCTAAGCTGTCCTTGTTCACTTCTGGGCGTAGACTGAACTCACTTTGGAAGAAACTTAGTTTACGATTCAAACAAAGACGGTGACAGCCCTTTCCCAAAGCAGACTTCCTTGTTGACTGGGGACCTGACTACCTCTGAGGACTCACATTAGCCACAAGATTAGAAATGATGGTTCAGGAGTCACGTAGCTGGAGGTGACAAGATTCTTCCCCTCCCTAAACTGCTCCTAAGATCAGCCCTTGAGATGTTTTGCAGACCCTGCACTTGATGGATCAGCTGGCCCCACCCACATCAATAAACTGGCTCTTCTGCTCTTGGGCCCCCACCCAGGAACTGACAGCTTGCATGAAGCCGGCTTTGACTCCCTACGATTTCATCCTTGACCAATCAGCACTCCTGGCTCACTGGCTTTCCCCGACCCACCAAGTTATCCTTAAAAACTCTGCTCCCTGAGAATGCTCAGGGAGACTGATTTGAGTAATAATAAACTCCAGTCTCCTGCACAGCCGAGTCTGCGTGAATTACTCTTTCTCTATTGCAATTTCCCTGTCTCAGTGAATCAGCTCTTCTAGGCAGCAGGCAGGGTGAACCTCCTGGGGCTTACACAATCTGCACCTCCTGGGTTCAAGCAATTCTCCTGCCTCAGCCTCCCAACTAGCTGGGATTACAGGCATGTGCCACCATGCCTGGCTAATTTTTGTATTGGTAGAGATGAGGTTTCACCATGTTGGCCAGGCTGATCTCAAACTCCTGACCTCAGTTGATCTGCTTGCCTTGGCCTCCGAAAGTGCTGGGATCATAGGCGTGAGCCACCATGCCTGGCCTGAGAACTCCTCTTTATCCTGCAAAACCCTTCAGGCATTCCACCCCATCCTGTCCCAAAGGTGGAGTCTGCCCTCAGGCAGACTGTCTGTCCCTCAGGCTGGAGGCTCTGGGGCACCAGCTGTGACATGGTAAAAACCCCATAAAACTGCATGCCTCAACCATCCCTCGGCTTTCTGTTGAAACTGCTCTCTGGAACCCTGATGTGACAGGCGAGCAGTCCAAACCCACGCCATCTTGGCCCCTCCAACTTGTAATAAGTAACTAAGGTCTGTAATTTCCACCCTACCCAGGCAACGAGTAAATTAACGCTTATCTTGACCTCTGTGAACCACTTAAGTAACACTCAGAATGTCTGAAGCCCCTCACCCTCATCTCTGCCCAGGAGGTGATTTACGGAATGCCCACCCTCCCCCGCCCCTCACCCTCACCCCCGAGGTGGTTTATGGGTATAAAAGGTCTTGACACCCTCCTTTTGGGGCCACGGGTTGGAGAGACGTGAGTCCTCCGTGGCTGCCGGCAATGCAGACCCTGCAATTTGGCATACTTTTGTCTTGATGTTGACTTTCTGTGCTCGCTCAGGCACAACGCCAGCTACCTTTCTTGTTCCCTTCTTGAGTATCCGCTGTCCTGGCTGGCCAAGGGGTGATGGTCTTTCTCCTGGAAAGAAATCACCCATTATGGGTGGGATTCCCATTTGGATCCTTGGAAGTGGGGCTGGCCCACTCCCCAAGAGGTGGGGTTTGGAGTGTGGACCAGAGCTGCAGGCAAGCAGCTGGTGCTAAGGTTTTATTCCCCGATCTGCCTGCCATGCTGAAAAGGCTCTGGGAGCCCTGCCCAGAAAAAGGGAGATGGGCACCGTGGAGTGCCCCGGGGGGACTGAAGCCAGGCCCTGCTCTCAGAGTGTGCCCTTCAATCGGACGCGGAGTAGGAGAGCTTACCTGTGGAACAGGAGCAGTGCCGTGCTGGGGAGGCTTGGGGGACAGACGACCTGCCACTCAGGCTCTGGCCTGTGACTCCATATTGGTCCCGGGGCTGAGTGAGACTGGGGGTTGCCCACTGCTGTAATCAAATTGATGGCTAACAGTCACATCGCTTCATAGGGATTCATACTCCTGGGAGATGGGTATCATTATTATCATCCTCATTTTACAGATAAGGAAACTGAGTCCCACAGAGGCCAAGAGCTTTGCGGAAGGTCACATAGCCTATGAGTGGCGGAGCCGGAATTCAACAGCTTGAGGGTCACCGGAGAGTGCACCCTTAGCCCCACCCAGGCGTCTCCAGAATGGAAGGCTGGCCAGAAAGGCATCTAGCTAGTGCCCAAGGAATGCTGGATGAATGAATTCAATAAATTCACGCCTGGCCAGAAATCTCTCTCCCACAGGCCTCAGTGCCCACAATTCCATCGCCACAACTATGCTCCTGGTGCCACCCCCCGCCCACAGCACTTCCCAGCTCTGGACTCAGTCAGTGATCAGAACTGCCAAGCCTGCAAGGGGAACGTGATCACCCCATTTTACAGAGGAGAAAACAGGCTGAGAGGAAGTCGATAACTAGAACCCAGACCTGACTATCACTAGGCTGCCGCACGTTTGGAAAATGCAGGCAAGTCTGGGAAGGGCGCACATCAGACATCATTTCATTTACACCTGCTGGGAAGGGCACCTCAGTTGCTGAAGGTCACAATACTGAGCTAATGGGATAAGGGGACATGATTGGAACACTGGGGATCAGGAGAATGCTGGGTGGGGTGGGTGCCAGGAGGGAACGATGCATGGGAAAAGGGAAGTGGGGTGGGGGTTGGAAGATAGACTGTCAGCACTTCTAGTTTTTTTCTGCAGCATCTGCAGCTTGAGAGGGAAGAGCTGGTTCTGCCCTAGAGAGGCTGTGTGACCTCTGGGAGCCTTGGCTTTTTCATTTCTTCTTCTTCTTTTTTTTTTTTTTGAGATGGAGTTTCGCTCATGTTACCCAGGCTGGAGTGCAATGGCACAATCTCAGCTCACTGCAACCTCCGCCTCCTGGGTTCAAGCAATTCTCCTGCCTCAGCCTCCCGAGTAGCTGGGACTACAGGTGTGCGCCACCATGCCCAGCTAATTTTTTTTTTTTTTTTTGAGACGGAGTTTCGCTCTTGTTACCCAGGCTGGAGTGCAATGGCGCGATCTCGGCTCACCGCAACCTCCGCCTCCTGGGTTCAGGCAATTCTCCTGCCTCAGCCTCCTGAGTAGCTGGGATTACAGGCACGCGCCACCATGCCAAGCTACCTTTTTTGTATTTTTAGTAGAGACGGGGTTTCACCATGTTGACCAGGATGGTCTCGATCTCTTGACCTCGTGATCCACCCGCCTCGGCCTCCCAAAGTGCTGGGATTACAGGCGTGAGCCACCGCGCCCGGCCCTGCCTTTTCTTTTTCTTTCTTTCTTTCCTTCCTTTCTTCCTTCCTTCCTCCCTCCCTCCCTCTCTCTCTCTTTCTTTCTTTCTTTCTTTTTTTGAGGCAGAGTCTCACTCTATAGCCCACGCGGGAATGCAGTGGCACAATCTCAGCTCACTGTAACCTCCGCCTCTCAGGTCCCAGTTCAAGCAATTCTCCTGCCTCAGCCTCCCAAGCAGCTGGGATTATAGGCTTGCGCCACGATGCCCAGCTAACTTTTGTATTTTTAGGGTTTCATCATGTTGGTCAGGCTGGTCTTGAACTCCTGAACTTGTGATCCACCTGCCTCGGCCTCCCAAAGTGCTGGGATTACAGGTGTGAGCCACTGTGCCCGGCCAGCCTTTGCCCTTTGTAGAACCACTGGTGCCTGAGCTCTGTGTGCTTTACAACTTCTCATTTGTGTACTTGGGCTGACAGAAGGAGGATGCTGTTCAGGCAGGTTCGGGGCCTCCGCACCCGCAGCCCCATGGAGAATCCCATACCGCCCTCCCCATGGGTGGGAGCAGGTGGATGCTAATTGAACTTTTAAATCGAGTCAGACTTTGAAGTCCTCTGCGGCCCCGTAAGGCCCAGAGGTGGCCCCCTGATCACAGGCCATCCTGGTGTCTGCGGCCCCAGTGGATCACAAGATCTCACATGCTTGGGCCAGGTGACGTCTCTCCCTGCTGCCACCTCCATCCATCCCCAGCCGCTAAAGGGACATCCCTGTATGTGGCTGAAGGAAAACACCACCAGTTCACCCAGCCCCTCCGTGTGCCAGGCCCTCGAGTGCCTTACACACTTCCTCATTTCATCCTCACGATGGCCAATGACACGGGAGCTTGGAAGGTGAAGTGGCTCCTCCAGAGTCGCGCAGCTGGAACATGGCAGAGCTGGATGTGAATCCAGGCTAGGCAGCTCCGGCCTCTTCTCCTGGCGCCTTGCTGAGGGAGACCCTGCCCCAGCCTCAGTGACTGTTGGGGGCAGGGGACTGCTGGATCAGGCTTGGCCATGCCGGGCAGCGTGTGGGTCACCAGGGCCTCGGGCTCCTGCTTGGGGCTGGCGGCTCCCAGGAGACCCCCTTCTCTGCAGGGACTTTTTTGTTTTGTGTCCTTGTGTCCAGGCTGGAGGATGGGACCGGAGGAGGAGAGGGAGGGAAGGATGAAAGGGAAGTCAAGTCAAGCCCAGGAAAGTGCCCCCTGCTGTCTTCCTCCAGCACGACTGAGGCCCGGTGAACTGTCAGCAGTGAACCCCGCAAGATGCCATTAGCTGTGGTTCGGGGGCTGTCGGGCAACTGTGTGTGTGTTGGGGGCAACCACGGAAGAGGCTGGTGGCTGGGAACAGGGACGCGACATGGAACTGCCAGAGACTTTTGGCTGGTTCGTTTCCCCTCCCTCAAGTCCTCCCTCCAGGCCCGAGGGATTCGGCAGGGTTTTCAAGGACAGCGCTGTCCGTGGCTTCCCGCCTGTCTGCCTGGCTGGTTCTTCTGTCTCCCCCGGACTCTTTCGCTGCTCTGGCAGGCCTGGGCATTCCTGGACCCTCACGTGGGGCCTGTGCCTGGGGCCTCCTCGGGAGGAGTGCCGCTGGGGATTGCTCCTTCAGAGGCAGGAGGAGGGGCTGGGTTCTCCGGGGCCCCTGGTGTGGGATGGGAGGATGGGGCCCGGGAGGCTTCGTCACAGGGACTGGGCACAGAACTGGCAGCGGGTCCAGGCGTCTGGGCCTCAGTGCCTGACTGTGCCTGGGCCACAGAAGCTGACTGTGGCTGGGCCGTGGGGTTCAGCTGTGGCTGGGCTGTGGGAGCTGATGGTGGCTGGGCTGTGGGGTTCACCTGAGGCTGGGCCACAGGATCCATCTGTGGCTGGGCCTCCACTGTCGGCCCTGGCAGAGCTGGGCCCTCAGAGTCCAGCTGGGTCTGTGGCTCAGCAGGTGTGAAGCTGCCCGGCCGTTCCTCGCAGAGAGCTGCCGCGAAGGACGAGAGCACGGAGCGCAGCAGGGCCCGGAGGTCGGCGCTGGCCATGAGGCAGAGGAAGGGGCTGAGGCAGCTGTTGAGCAGGATCAGGTAATCGGAGTAAACCAGGGCCTCCCAGAGCAGGTAGCCGGGGTAGATGTCCCATAGGAAAGCCAGATAGAGCAGCTGGGCCAGCTGGTATGGCAGCCGCAGGACCACGTAGGCCGACAGAATGGTCCTGGCCACACGGGCAAAGCCCCGGCAGGCTGTGGGCTGCGGTTGGCGGCGGCAGGTGTGACAAGCCGAGGCCTGGGTGAGCACGTGACAGACCAGCAGCAGGAGGAAAGGCAGGAAGCCCCCCAGGACCTCCAGCATCCGCAGCGGCAGCTCCTCGCTGTCCCAGAAGTCCAGACAAATGACCAGGTCGTACCACCAGACCGTGGCCTCGGGGAAGACCAGCCAGGGCACGCTGAAGAGCGTGGCCAGCACCCAGACCCCAGCGCAGACCCAGAGGGGCAAGCGGGCAGGGCGGTGCCTAGGGTACCAATGTGGGCACAGCGCCAGCAGGCAGCGGTCCAGGCTGAGGGCAGCCAGCAGGAAGAGGCCAGAGGTGTACGATACACCCCACAGGAAGTAGTAGAAGCGGCAGGCAGCTGTCCCCAGCGGCCAGTGCCCTCCATGCTGGATCTCCAGGATCTGGAAGGCCGCTGCCGCCAGGAACAAGAAGTCAGAGAGGGCCAGGCTGAGCAGGAGCAGCGCCAGACGCGTGCCTGCTCCATGCCGGGCCTGGGAGCCGGCCAGCCACGCCATCAGCCCATTGGCTGGCAGCCCAAGGAGCAGCAGAGCCACCAGGAAGACTGTGTCCCAGCCACCCTGGGGGTAGGAGTCCTCGTCGTCCAGCTCCGTGCGGGGCCTGTGGCCGGTGGTGGCACCCAGGTCGGTTTCCATAGCAGTGTCCATCTGGGGTCCCCAGAGCCCTGCTGGACACGGAGTGGGTGCCTGGTGAATCAATAACAGCGTGAATGACCGAGAACGAGAGAGATGGTGCGGGGCATCTCCAGGCAAGTCACAGCCCTCCCTGTGCCGTTGTCATTGCCTTTTGGGTAGTCAGCCTGTGCCAAGGGCTTGAAATGGATGATCTCAGGGAGTCCTTATACCATCTACGTTACAGGCAAGGAGAGGGAGGTTCAGAGAATCAGTGAAGGTAGGAAAAGAGAAGGCAGGGCTCAACCCAGACTTTTTTTTTTTTTTGAGACAGGGCCTTACTCTATTGCCCGGGATAGAGTGCAGTGGCACTATCCCTGCAGCCTCCACCTCCTGGGCTCCAGTGACCCTCCCACCTCAGCCTCCCTAGTAGCTGGGACTACAGACGTGCAGCCACTACTTTTAAAAACAGCACCCAGGCCGGGCGCGGTGGCTCAAGCCTGTAATCCCAGCACTTTGGGAGGCCGAGGAGGGTGGATCACAAGGTCAAGAGATCGAGACCATCCTGGTCAACATGGTGAAACCCCGTCTCTACCAAAAATACAAAAAAAAATAGCTGGGCATGGTGGTGCGTGCCTGTAATCCCAGCTACTCAGGAGGCTGAGGCAGGAGAATTGCCTGAACCCAGGAGGCGGAGGTTGCGGTGAGCCGAGATCGCGCCATTGCACTCCAGCCTGGGTAACAAGAGCGAAACTCCGTCTCAAAAAAAAAAAAAAAAAAAAAAAAAAACAGCACCCACGGCTGGGCGTGGTGGCTCACGCCTGTAATCTCAGCACTTTGGGAGGCCGAGGTGGGTGGATCACGAGGTCAGGAGTTCAAGACCAGCCTGGCCAACATGGTGAAACCCCATCTCTACTAAATGTACAAAAATAAGCCAGGTGTGGTGGCAGATGCCTGTAATCCCAGCTACGCGGGAGGCAGCAGAAGGAGAATCACTTGAGCCCAGGAGGCAGAGGTTGTGGTGAGCCGGGATCATGCCACTGCACTCCAGCCTGGGTAACAAAGCAAGACTCTTGTCTCAAAAAAAACAGCAGCCGGGCGCGGTGGCTCAAGCCTGTAATCCCAGCACTTTGGGAGGCCCAGGCGGGTGGATCATGAAGTCAAAAGATCAAGACCAGCCTGGTCAACATGGTGAAACTCCATCTCTACTAAAAATACAAAAAATTAGCTGGGCATGGTGGCACGTGCCTGTAATCCCTGCTACTCAGGAGGTTGAGGCAGGAGAATTGCTTGAACCCAGGAGGCGGAGGTTGCGGTGAGCCGAGATCGTGCCATTGCACTCCAGCCTGGGTAACAAGAGCGAAACTCCGTCTCAAAAAAAAAAAAAAAAATAGCACCCATTACTATTTTTTTTTTCTTTTAGATGGAGTCTTATTCTGTTGCCCAGGCTAGAGTACAGTGATCTTGGCTCACTATAACCGCCATGTGCTGGGTTCAAGTGATTCCTATGCCTCAGCCTCCCAAGTAGTTGGGACTATAGGCACGTGCCACCACACCCAGCAAATTTTTGTATTTTTAGTAGAGATGGACTTACATCATATTGGCTATGATGGTCTCGATCTCTTGACCTCATGATCTGCTTGCTTTGGCCTCCCAAAGTTCTGGGATTACAGGTGTGAACCATTGCACCCAGCCAAATTTTTTTTTTTTTTTTTTTTTTTTTCCCATAAAGACAGGGTTTCACCATGTTGGTAAGGCTGGTCTTGAACTCCCGACCTCAGGTGATCCACCCGCCTTGGCCTCCAAAGTGCTTGGATTACAGGCATGAGCCACCGCGCCCGGCCAGCCAGCTTTTAAAATTTTCAGCAGAGACAAGTTCTTGCTGTGTTGCCCAGGCTGGTTTTAAACTCATGAGCGCAAGCAATCCTTCTACCTCGGCCTCCTAAAGTGTTGAGATTACAGGCTTGAGCCATCGTGCCCAGCTAGACTTAATCTCCTGCCATGTGGAATCCCACTGTGTCTGGGTAGACTAACCCAGAGGCTTCCAAAGATTGTTAAAGGTACGAAATTTTGTCTTTAAAAAGTATTTTAGTAGAACTCCTATATGAACTAAAAGGGGGTGCTCAAATTAAGGGGGGAAAAGAGTACCCCCCTAGGGTTCCAGGAAGCACAGTTTGAAGACCACTTGGTCTGCTCATCACAAGGCCCCTTTATGCCTGCTCTCCTGGGGTTTGAGTGTTTAGGGTTCCAAGAAGGGCGGGCTCTCACTCCCACAGTCCCAGGGGACCCAAAGGTAGGGAGTCTGCGGCAGTGGGAACCCCCTCCCCTCCAGTGAGTGTCACTCATGGGTCTCAGGATGAAGTCCGGATCTCAGGACCCCGACAGCCTGGGGCCAGGAGGGCCATCCTGGGAGCCCCGGTACCTCTCCAGTGTCTCCTGCCCCCCATGGCTCTCTCCTGCTCCCCACAGCTCAGGCAGGAGGTGAGCCCCGTTTGTCTCCTGGAGCTGCTAAACAGAGAAGGGGAGGGCTCTGCAGTGGGATGGCAGTGAGGGCAAGGGCGGTTGGGGGGCACCCAGACCTGGGATGCAAGAGGCCTGCAGCCCCACCTCGCCCTCCCTGCTGGCAGAGGGCCCTGAGAGCCCACGTGGTGGTACAGTCCGGGGAGGGAACGGCTGCCCCCAGGCCCATGGCTCCAGCCACTTGGTCTTTAGTCTGGTGGCCTCTGTACCCGCAGGGTTCCTCCTCCTTCTTGCCCCCCTCTGCTGTCTCTATTCCCTATTGGATCAGAGCCCCAGGCACCCCCAGCCCCCGGCCCTGACCAGTGAGGCCTGGCTTACCTGGGAGTGAGACAGCTCCAGCTGTCTCCCCGGCCCTCACCGGGGCCTGCTGTGTGGCGCCTGGCGGCGCTAAGGCGGCTGGGCAGGAAACCCAAGCTGAGAGGACATCAATCATTCATAGGGCTGCTTGCTGGGAAACCCTAACCCTGGCCCAGTAGGGCCAAGTGACCAGCCAGGCCCCCTCCCCCAGCCCTTAACGGGCCTGGACAGTCAGACCCTCCTCCCCCAGACCTCTGCGACCCACCTCCTCCCACATCACCCCCTGTGCCCCTCCACCCAGCATTCGAGGTGTCTGTGATCTGGCCTCTTCCTCCGTTTCACATGCCCTCTGCGCCGCGCAGGATGTCACCCATGGGGGGCCCCAGTGGGCCACTTGCTCGTCCTTTCCCACCTCCCAGCTGTCGTCCAAATGCCTCCTCCTGCCTAAGATGCCTACCCTGGTCCTCTAACAAAGGCCTCCACCCATGTCACACAGCTGGGCTGAGTCCTCTGCACCCTGGCTCTATTCCCCACATTTTATAGATGGGGAAACCGAGATTGGGAGGGGACTCTGCTGGATCTCCCGACTAATAAGTAGCAGGTCTGACATCTGAGGCTCATGGCAGCCACCATGTCCTGGTGCCCTTTGCTTCTGACTGAGGACAGTTCTCTGGACCCATCTGGCTCTGCCCTGGCCAGCTCTGGAGCAAAGCACTGGGATTAGGGCCGGGGCTGCCTACCTCACTTACCCTAATCCCCCTCAGAGCCCGATCCTAGGCTCCCAGCTCTAAGAGTGGGGGTGCATAAGCAGCTTCATGAGTCCTGAGAGCCAAGGGTGCCCAGGAGTGCTGTGTCTGAGCCCTGCCCTCCCTCCCCCATGGCCACAGAGCAGGTGAGCGGGCAGCATGGCCCAGACCCAGCCACTGGCCCTCAGAAGACCCCTGTGACTCCCAAGAGTGATGCAGAGGAGCCCCCAATGACCAGGAAGAGGAGCAAGAAGGAGAGGGGGCTCCGAGGGTCCCGGAAGCGCGCTGGCAGCTCTGGGGACCAGGCAGGCCCCGAGGCCCTGGGGAGCAGCAAGAACCTTCCCAGGACTGGAGAGGGGCCGGCAGGGGTACCCCCTGCATCCCCTGGGCCGGCCTCTTCGCGCCAGTCCCACCGACATCGTCCTGACTCCCGGCACGATGCTGCTCAGAGGACATACGGGCCCCTGCTCAATCGAGTCTTCGGGAAGGTTAGGTGGGACCTGGGTGGGCCTCGGGGGCCTGGGGGTGGGGCTGGAGACACACCCCTGGGGTTCAGCCCACCCTGCCCCTGAGAGGCCCTCTGTCTCTTCTGCCCCAGACTGAACCTGGGCTGTGGGATTGTGTTGCTGTGGTTTGGGAAAGGGTGGGTCTCTGGCCGGTGTGGGCGTGGGCAGAGCCAGAGCTCGCACCAGGGCTCTGTGGGGGCTCCAGGCCCCAGAAGCATGAAAGCAAGCTTGCTCCTCCTGGGACACACGAGGCTGCAGCGTCCTTTCCCTGCCCCGCTGTGGCTGGCCCTGCCCAGGCCCGCATGAGCAGGGGATGGAGGAGGAAGGGTGACAGAGCCATGGCTGGCCCTGGGGACATGGCAGACTCTCCCCGTGCAGGATCGAGAGCTGGGCCCGGAGGAGCTAGATGGTGAGTGGCTCTTGCTACTGGCGGGGGCAGGGGCTGTCCCTGAGCCTGGCCACCTGGGCCTGACCTCCCTCCCCCACAGAGCTTCAGGCCGCCTTCGAGGAGTTTGACACCGACCGTGACGGCTACATCAGCCACCGGGAGCTGGGCGACTGCATGCGGACCCTGGGCTACATGCCCACTGAGATGGAGCTCCTGGCGGTCTCCCAGCACATCAAGATGCGAAGTCAGTGCTGGGCCCCGCCCACCCGGCAGCCTGGGCTTCTCTGGGCTGCATGGTTCAGAGGGATCACGAGGGGCTGGCAGGAGGTGGCCCTTGAGAGGCCATCAGGGTGGCGGTGGGAGTGAGGGAGGGTGATGGTTTCCAGGTGGGAGCACTAGGGTCCAAGCTCCTGCCTCTGTGTGTGGGAAGGCCGGCCAGGAAGGCGGCCCTAGAGATGCAGGAGGGCCCCTTGGGGCTCAGGTTGAGGATCCCACTGGGGATACCTGTTGCCGTGGCCGGTGCACACATTCACTCCTTCCACCTGAGCCCTTCCTGCCTCGCTGGTCCAGGGGCCCCGACTCAGTGATAAAGTGCTCTCTGCTGACACTAGTCACGTGGCACCCTCTCTCTTTCGCTCTCTTTCTGTGACTCTGCCCCATTCCTGTGCCCCGGCGGCAGATAACTGAATCGGGGTCACCCTGGCGGGAGAGGACCCCAGCCGCGCCTGGCGACTAGGTGTCTGATGGCAGGCACGGTGCGGTTACCTTTCGCTGGTTTGTCCTCAGGCAAAGCTCAGATTCACTTCATTCCAGGACTCCTGCATTTTCTCCATACAATTTCCAAAATGGGGATGTGATTTATAGCTGATGTGGACATCTGGTGTCGTGGCAAAGCTGTTGCATGACTATGGGTGTTTGTGTGACTGACGGCATCTTAGAACGGAGGCATAGACTACATGGGTGTGTCGGGAAGTGGCACTGATTGCTGCCCACGGGGCTCCAGCACCTCATGGCTGTGAACCTGAACCCCAGCAGCACCACCATGAAGTAGGCTTCTCACCCTGTCCCTAGGATGAGGAAGGGAGGGTAAGTCAGCCAGTGCCAGACACAGCAGCGGGGTCAAGATTTGAACCCGGGACTATCTGGTCCAAAGCCTGGTCTCTTCCTCGCACACTCAGGTTCTTCGCTAAGAGCAGAAGCAGCCCCGGCACCCCAGCAGCCGAGGATGGGGGTTCCAGCCTCCTCTCTGCTGCATCAACATGCTTGTTTTTTCCTAGGTGCAGAGCCTGGGGGTGGGGGTGCCTGGCCTGTGGGGTGTCCCTCCTTGGGCTTCAGCCCTCATGCCCTCACCATTGTGATACTCTGCCTGGGTCCGCAGTGGGTGGCCGCGTGGACTTTGAGGAGTTTGTGGAACTGATAGGCCCAAAGCTGAGGGAGGAGACGGCGCACATGCTGGGGGTTCGGGAGCTGCGCATCGCCTTCCGAGAGGTGGGAGCGCGGTGCGGTGGGCAGAGGGGGGCAGGGCTGGGTGGCATCCTTGCTGGCCTCTCACTCAGGTCTCAGCCTCAGGAAGGCCCAGAGCCCTGCAGGTGGTGGGAGTGAGGCCCAGCAATGGGTCAGAGAGGGTCCAGCTCACTCCCAGCTAGGGGATCCATCCAGGGGGACTTCCTGGACCAGGAGGCAAACCACCTTGTCGTGGGAGGTTGGGGAAGGTGTGCGTGGGTGGAGATGGTGGGCAGGGGGGCATCTAGGTACAGGCAGGGGTAAGAGTGGAGCTGGCTGCAGGCTGAGGCAGCTTTGGGTGGGAGGGGCTGAGCCTTGCCGGGACCCTAGTTTGACAGGGACAGGGATGGACGAATTACCGTACCAGAGCTGCGGGAGGCAGTGCCGGCTCTTCTCGGGGAGCCACTGGCGGGTCCTGAGCTGGACGAGATGCTCCGAGAAGTGGACCTCAATGGGGATGGCACCGTAGACTTTGATGGTGAGTATCCTTCCTGGAAAACCCTCCCATCCTCCCAGGGCCCAGGCTGAGCCCAGCACCCCCTGGGATCCCTGACGTGGACCGGCCCAAGCCCTGCCCTGCTCTCCCGCAGAGTTTGTGATGATGCTCTCCCGCCACTGAGGCTCCAGGAGGGAGTATCTGTTGCCCCCGGGCCCCAGATGCCAGCAGGACCCAGGCTGCGCCCCTTCCCCAGGAGGCGCCAGGATGGAGATGGAGGGGTCCCAGCAGCCCCCAGACTTCTATCCCTGAAAACACCTGGCCTCAAGGTCTGCTTGTTACGTCACCCGCCCACCCTCATCCTCACCTCCCCCCACTCAAGCTGCCTGGAGAAGACCTGCTCTCAGCTGCCCACCGTTCCTCAGCATGAGCAAGATTTGGGTCTCTCCAGAGCCCTGGAAGGTAGGGAGTTCCCTGGCACTGGCAGCATTCAGTGCCCCCCCCACCGCACCTCGAGTGGCATGATGAATTGAGAGGGTGGCTGGACCTCTCCTGCTACTTATGTTTATAAACTTTTTTTTTTTTTTTTTTTTTTGAGATGGAGTCTTGATCTGTAGCCATGGCTGGAGTGCAGTGGCACAATCTCAGCTCACTGAAACCTATGCCTCCTGGGCCCGGTTCAAGCAATTCTCCTACCTCCTTCTCCCAGGTAGCTGGGATTACAGGCACGAGCCACCATGCCCAGCTAATTTTGGTATTTTTTAGTAGAGACGGGGTTTCACCATGTTGGCCAGTCTGGTCTTGAACTCCTGACCTCGTGATCTTCCCGCCTCAGCCTCCCAAAGTGCTGGGATTACAGGTGTGAGCCACCATGCCCAGCCTATAAAAATTTTTTTTTTTATGTGAACTTGAGCCAGGTGTGGTGGCTGACACTTGTAATCCCAGCTGTTACTAAGGGGCAGAGGTGAGAGGATACCTTGAGCCCAGAAGTTTGAGACCTACCTGGACAATATAGCGAGACCCCATTCTCAACAAAAAAAGAAAAAAAAAGTGAAAACAAGTGAACTTGAAAGAAAGGGATGGCCCAATGTATCAAAGACAAAGAGAGAAACGAAGCTGGGATTGTGGGAGCGGGCTGATCCCGCGGGGGTTTCAGATGCAGAGAGGGGCTTCGGCACCTGGGCTCCTACACCTGTAAGTGACAGAAGAACTGTATAGTCTGAGGAGCAAGAAACAAACATTCCACGGTCTCGAAAGGCTAAGATATGAATCTATCTGCGCTATCTCCCACCAGTCGGAGAAAGTGGTGAGGATACAAACGTTCAGGGTCGGGAGTGGAAACAGCTGCTCTAGAGAGCCCGGAACTCCAGGGTCTGCCCTTCAAGCAGGGGTGTCGTCTATCTCTAGGGTGTGAAAAGCTGAAAACAACTAGAAAAAACCCCTGCTGAGCAGAGGTACGCTTTCAACCCACTTGGGCACGTGGAACTTCTAAAAACAAAAGCAAACCCAAAAAACCCTGCTGTTCCCAAAGGTGAACTCGTGATAAAAACTACAGATTACTGGGCCAGAAGTGGTGGCTCACGCCTGTAATCCCAGTACTTTGGGAGGCCAAGGCGGGTGACCCTCCTGGAGACCAGCCTGGCCAACCCAGGTGAGATGGGGTGAAACGCCGTCTCTACTAAAAATACAAAAATTAGCTGGGCGTGGTGGCGTGCACCTATAATCCCAGCTATTCCGGAGGCTGAGTCAGGAGAATCGCTTGAACCTGGGAGGCGGAGGCTGCAGAGAGCTGAGATCGTGTCATTGCACCCCAGCCTGAGTGACAGAGAGAGACTGTCTCAAAAACAAAACAAAACAAACCTACAGATTATAAAAGTAAAGAACCACCATGAGGGTGGTGAGGCAGAGACGAAAACAAGAGACCTGGCGTCTCAGTGTACATCATACAGCTGCCTGAGAGACCACAGGACACATGCAGAGAAAAGAGGGGTAAGAGCGGAAGAGAGGCCAACAGGATGGTATGAAGAGAGAACCAGAAGATTTAAAAAGCAACCCAACGGGCCAGGCGTGTGGCTCATGCCTGTAATCCCAGCACTTTGGGAGGCCCAGGTGGGTGGATTACTTGAGTTCAGGAGTTCGAGACTGGCCTGGGTGACATGGTGAAACCCTGTTTCTACTAAAAATTCAAAAATTGGCCAGGCATGATGGTGCCTGCATCTGTAGTCCCAGCTTCTCTGCAGGTTGAGGTGGGAGGATCGCTTGCGCCCAGGAGGCAGAGGTTGCAGTGAGCAGAGATGGCACCACTGTACTCCAGCCTGGGTAACAGAGCGAGAATCCGTCTCAAAAAAAAAAAAAAAAAGGCCGGGCGCGGTGGCTCAAGCCTGTAATCCCAGCACTTTGGGAGGCCGAGGCGGGTGGATCACGAGGTCAAGAGATCGAGACCAGCCTGGTCAACATGGTGAAACCCCGTCTCTACTAAAAACACAAAAAATTAGCTGGGCATGGTGGCGCGTGCCTGTAATCCCAGCTACTCAGGAGGCTGAGGCAGGAGAATTGCCTGAACCCAGGAGGCGGAGGTTGCGGTGAGCCGAGATCGCGCCATTGCACTCCAGCCTGGGTAACAAGAGCGAAACTCCATCTCAAAAAAAAAAAATAAATAAATAAAAAAAATAAAAAAAAAAGAGTGCCATGGCTTCTGTTAAAAAAAAATATATAGCCACTGGAATGAAAAAATTCATGGATAAACTAAAGAGCAGATTAAACACAATTTAAAGAAGATTAATGAACTGGAAGCTATATCTGAGAAATCACTTACAATGTAACACTGAAAAACAAAAAGATGGAAACAATAAAAGGTAACTAAAAGTCATCGGAAGACTGTGTGTGGTGGCTCATGCCTGTAATCCCAGCATTTTGGGAGGTTGAGGCAGGAAGATCACTTGAGGCCAGGAGACCAGCCGGGCTAACACAGCAAGACCTTGCCTCTACAAAAAAAAAAAATTAAATAAATAAATAGGCTGGGCAAGGTGGCTCGCGCCTGTAATTCCATCACTTTGGGAGGCCAAGGTGGGCGGATCACCTGAGGTCTGGAGTTCGAGACCACCCTGGCCAACATGGTGAAACCCTGTCTTAAAAAATAAATAAATAGGGCCAGGCGCGGTGGCTCAAGCCTGTAATCCCAGCACTTTGGGAGGCCGAGGCGGGTGGATCACGAGGTCAAGAGATCGAGACCAGCCTGGTCAACATGGTGAAACCCCGTCTCTACTAAAAAAATACAAAAAATTAGCTGGGCATGGTGGCGTGTGCCTGTAATCCCAGCCACTCAGGAGGCTGAGGCAGGAGAATTGCCTGAACCCAGGAGGCGGAGGTTGCGGTGAGCCGAGATCGTGCCATTGCACTCCAGCCTGGGTAACGAGTGAAACTCTGCCTCAAAATAAATAAATAAATAAATAAATAAATAAATAAATAAATAATTTTAAAAGCTGGGTGTGGTGGCTCATGCTTGTAGTCCTAGCTATTCAGGAGGCTGAGGTGGGAGGATCACCTGAGCCCAGGAGTTGGAGGCTGCAGTGAGCTGTGATTGTGCCACTGCACTCCAGCCTTGGTGACAGAGCGAGACCTGTTTCAAAGAAAAAGAAAGGGAAGTCCTTGGGAGTCTCAGAGGAGGAAATATTTAGAGAATAGGCAAGAAGCAATAATCAAAGAGACAGTGGCTGAAGATTTTCCATAAAGACTTCCACAGACTTCAAGTCCCCAGATTGAGGGAACAAACCAAAGTCAGAGTAGGGCAAATAAAAATAAATGTATATCTGGATACATCCTGCTGAAACTGCAGAATACAAAAAGGAAATCTGATAAATAACTAGAGAGAAAAGTCAGACTCACGGTGTTCTGTCAAAGTGTTCATGTAGATTAGAATCGGGACACTTTCTGTAAAGGGCTGGACAGTAATTATTTTAGGCTTTGACGCTTCTGTCTGTTGCAGCTGCTCGCGCAACTCTGTTGTTGAAGTTTGTGGCGCAAAGCAAAGTCGAGTTATCAACAAATGAGTGTAGCTATGTCAGAAATTTAATAAATAATAGTAAGACTTCATTTATTGACATGAAAATTTGAATTTTATATAATTTTATATCATAAAATCTGATTATTCTTTGACTTTTCCCCAACCATTACAAAATATAAAAACCATTCTGTGCATTCTGTGGACTATACTTTGCTGACTCCTATTTTTTTTTTTTTTTTTTTTTTGAGACGGAGTTTCGCTCTTGTTACCCAGGCCGGAGTGCAATGGCGCGATCTCGGCTCACCGCAACCTCCGCCTCCTGGGTTCAGGCAATTCTCCTGCCTCAGCCTCCTGAGTAGCTGGGATTACAGGCACGCACCACCATGCCCAGCTAATTTTTTGTATTTTTTCAGTAGAGACGGGGTTTCACCATGTTGACCGGGATGGTCTTGATCTCTTGACCTCGTGATCCACCCGCCTCGGCCTCCCAAAGTGCTGGGATTACAGGCTTGAGCCACCGCGCCTGGCGACTCCTGTTTTTGTTTTTTGAGACAGAGTCTGGCTTTGTTGCTCAAGCTGAAGTGCAGTGGCATGATCCCGACTCGTTGCAACCTCCACCTCTTGAGTTCAAGCAATTCTTCAACCTCAACCTCCCGTGTAGCTGTGTATGTCACCATGCCCGGCTAATTCTTTGTATTCTTAGTAGAGATGGGGTTTCACCATATTGGCCAGGCTGGTCTCGAACTCCAGGCCTCAAGTGATCCACTCGCCTCGGCCTCACAAAGTGCTGGGTTTTCAGGCGTGAGCTACCACGCCCGGCCCACCTTGCTGATTCCTAATGCAGACTTCTAATGATGGGAATCACCACTTCTGAAATCACTTTCTGTTAAGATTGTGGAATGAGGTCAGGTGAGGTGGCTTAGGGGTTCAATACCAGCCTGGCCAACATAGTGAAACCCTGTCTCTACTAAAAATACAACAATTAGCTGGGCATGGTGGTGTGCACCTGTAGTGTCAGCTACTGGGGAGACTGAGGCATGAGAATCGCTTAAACCACGAGGCAGAGAATGCAGTGAACTGAAATTGTGACACTGAACTGCACTCCAGCCCTGGGGGACAGAGCGACACTCAGTCTCAAAAAAAAGAAAAAAAAGTGGAATAATAAAAAGTTGTTAAATATAGTTGCGATTCTGTTGTGTGAATTGCCTGTTTGCTCATATTCAATGCATGCTTTTTGCCATTTTTCCTTTTTCATATGTTTGTTCTGATTATATTTATTGAAATGTAATTTTATGGCTAATTAATCTGATAAACTGGGGACTTGTATTCTGTGGTGTTTTTTTTTTTTTTTTTGATATGGTGTCTCACTGTTGCCCAGGCTGGAGGGCAGTGGTGAGATCTCAGCTCACTGCAACCTCTGCCTCCCAGGTTCAAGTAATTCTCCTGCCTCAGCATCCTGAGTAGCTGGGATTATAGGTGCACACTACGATGCCTGGCTAATATTTTTTGTATTTTTAGTAGAGATGGGGTTTCACCATGTTGGTCAGGCTGGTCTTGAACTCCTGACCTTGTGATCTGCCTGCCTCAGCCTTCCAAAGTGCTGGGATTACAGACATGAGCCACCGTGCCCAGCCTCTGTGTTTTTTATTTCATTTTTCTAGTTTTAAAAATTTGTATATTACTGTATGGTTTTTTTGAGATAGGCCTCACTCTGTCTTCCAGGCTGGAGTACAGTGGTGCAATCATGACTCACTGCAGCCTCCCAGGCTCAGTGCTCCTCCCACCCCAGGACCCCAAGTAATTGGGACTGCAGGCCCCCCACCATGCCTGGCTAATTTTTGTTATTTTTTGTAGAGACGGGGTTTCGCCATGTTCCCCAGGTTGGTCTCAGACTCGTGGACTCAAGTGATCCTCCCACCTTGGCCTCTCATAGTGCTGGGATTACAGGTGTGAGCCACCATGCTTGGCTAGTTCTTATGAAAGTACTGGACCATGATGGATTAGAAATGAAAACCGGTCCTTTACCACAGCTAGTTGGGGGACCACTGGTTTAGGAGTTCCTGCATCCAATGGGTGCTCCAAAATGCCTTGAATGTGGAATGAGGGTGGGAAGTCTGTAGAGGCTGGAAAGGTGGGAGCGACAGCCGGGGTCTGGGTGTCCACTCCTCTAACTCACAGAACCCTGAAGGCCCCGCTGTGCTGGCTGCCGCAGACAGTGGTTTGTGGGATATGTTTCGGTGGGGGAGACAGACTGCGTGCAGGTGCACCAACCAGGCATCCCAACCTGTGCTCACTTGACCAGCCTCTTGGTTGGCCAGTAGGGGAGATCAGCTGCTCAGTGCCCACCTCCTCCTCCCTCTCCCCCAGTGTCATGGGAGGAACCCTGGGTCAGAGAGCTGGAACTCTGGGTTATGTTCCTAATTCTACCTATCACCTGCTGGCTGTCCTTGGGCAAGTCAGTCCTCCCATGTCAAATGGGACTGAGGTAGTGAAGATTCTAAGATATAATCCATGTTCAGTGCTTAGCACCTGACTTGGTATCTTTTTTTTTGTTTGTTTGTTTTTTGAGACGGAGTTTTTTCACTCTCGTTACCCAGGCTGGAGTGCAATGCGCGATCTCGGCTCCCCGCAACCTCCGCCTCCTGGGTTCAGGCAATTCTCCTGCCTCAGCCTCCTGAGTAGCTGGGATTACAGGCACACGCCACCATGCCCAGCTAATTTTTTGTATTTTTAGTAGAGACGGGGTTTCACCATGTTGACCAGGATGGTCTCGATCTCTTGACCTCGTGATCCACCCGCCTCGGCCTCCCAAAGTGCTGGGATTACAGGCTTGAGCCACCGCGCCTGGCCTTCTTTATTTTTTAAAGAGAGATGGGGTCTCGCCATGTTGCCCAGGTTGGTCTCGGACTCCTGGGCTCAAGCAATCCTCCTACCTTGGCCTCTCAAAATGCTAGAATTATAGGCTTGAGCCACCGCACCCAGTCATCCTGGTGTCTTTTAAAAACTTGATGACTGCCGGGCGCGGTGGCTCAAGCCTGTAATCCCAGCACTTTGGGAGGCCGAGGCGGGTGGATCACGAGGTCAAGAGATCGAGACCAGCCTGGTCAACATGGTGAAACCCCGTCTCTACTAAAAATACAAAAAATCAGCTGGGCATGGTGGCGCGTGCCTGTAATCCCAGCTACTCCGGAGGCTGAGGCAGGAGAATTGCCTGAACCCAGGAGGCGGAGGTTGCGGTGAGCCGAGATAACGCCATTGCACTCCAGCCTGGGTAACAAGAGCAAAAACTCCGTCTCGGGAAAAAAAAAAAAAAAAAAAAAAAAAACAACTTGATGACTGCTAGCTACTATGATCTCAGATTTCAGTCCTCTCAAAGATTTTGTTTCTTGGTTCCTAAGATTCTGAAATGCTCTGATTTTCCAAAATTCTGAGATGGTTTGTTTCTAACATTCTGCAGTTCTAAGTCTTTGATCACTGAGGGTGTCTGTCAGGCCCGGCTTCCCAGGCCTTCTGCCCCCAGGTTCACCCAATCTCTGGGACTGGGAAGGAGAGCAGTGGGTGGAGGGCGCTGAACCACTGCCTTGGCATGGCCCACATTCAGGGCTGGCTGTGGCAGCCCAGGGCCCTAGAGCCAGGCTGGAACTAGGATACCAGCCTCCAGGCCCCAGGCCTGCGTCATCTCTGAGTGCCCTCAGCCAGGGCCACCAGACAGAGTCGGGCTGGTTGAGTCGTCTAAGGGCTGGGGGCGGGGCAGGCTGTTCTGGCCTTCTCCAGGCTGGCAAAGCAGGAGTCCTCCGCCCTGCTCTACCTCTAACATGCCCCATGCCCTTGGGCAAGCCTCAGCATCAGGGCTGCCACGTGTTCGGTGTTACTCGAAGCCCTTCAGCCTCAGGGTCAATCCTTTTCTGTCTTCATTGGAGGGGGCTGTGGTCAGGCTGGTGGGCTGGAACAGCGGTGGCAGGACAGGAGAGCAATTGCCTCTGGTGGAATTAGTTACTCCTTTATTAGCACGAAATAACAGTAACCTAGCGGTGGCAGGGCCTGAGAATAAGTTAAGGCACAGAGCAGGCGGGGTTGGCTTTCCCAGGGCAGGCCTGCATGCCCCAAACTTCCTGAGCAAACTCCCCAGGGCCCAGGGTTTCAGGGTCCTGGAGAGCCTCTTCCCTTGAGATGAGGGGAACGGAACAGGGCGCGGGTCCCAGGGGCGCCCCCGTGGACGGGAGGAGCCCACGCTGCACCACAGTCACTTCTCGAAGTATGGCAGGTAGAAGAACTGGAAGCCCCGGTGGCCCCTGACCGCGCAGTAGATGAAGATCACGTGATAAACTGTGGGGCGGGGCCTGTAAGTGCCGAGGCCACTCCCCCAATGCGGCCCCGCCCCGCCCCTTCCGCTCCGCCCCTCCCCGCCCCGGCGCCCTCTCGCACCTCCGGGCACCAACAACAGGAAACCCGGCACGAAGAAGATGGCGCTGGAGACACCTGCGGGAGAGACCGGAGGCCTGTCAGGGCGAGGGAGCGCGGGGCTGCGAGGCCCTCCGGGCTGCCGCTGACTGCCCGGGCAAGCCTCACTCTCCGCTGAAAAGGGGCCGTCTCCTGCCGGGAGGTGGGAGGGCTTGCCATGGACCCGTGGACACAAGAGGGGGTTGTCCACTGCCTGTGGGGGCGGGAGGGAGCGGGAGGGGGCGGGAGGGGGCGCTCACCTGGAGAGGGGGTCGCCTCCAGTCCCACGCCGACCAGGATCAGCACTGCACACAGATGGAGCCGCGGGGGTGGGCGCAGGAGCAGGGGTGAGGGCGGGGACTCCCACCCCCAGTCCGGCTCAGCCATAAGGAATGATGCCCCCCACCACCTGAGCGGAAGGTCCCCTAGGCAGAGACCCACCCCAGGAAGCTCACCAAGCTCTCTTTACAGAGCAGGGCACTGGGCAGGCCCTGGGAAGTTTGTGAAATGAGAGATTTTTATTTGCTCCTTGGGTTGGGCTTTCAGTCCTTAAACAAGCATTTGTGGAGCACCTACTGCGTGCCTGGTACGAGGAATTACGCCTTGAAGGGCTGATGAGGTCCCTGCCCTCATGGCCCGTCCTTAGCGGAGGAACCACTAAGAAGCTGAAAGCTACAGTCCAGGTGATTGGGATATGGGGGTAAGAACAGGGCAGTGCAGGAGTCCCGGGTCCCCAGTTAGAACTGGGGGGAACGGTGAGCTGGACTTTGCGCTCTGCAGCAAGCGGGGGCAATAAGCCTGGTGGCTGACATGGACTACTGTGTGCTTTGTGCATTGCCCAGTCCACTTCAAAAAGGGTATGATGGGCTGGGTGCGGTGGCTCATGCCTGTAATCCCAGTGCTTCAGGGTGCCAAGGCAGGAAGATTGATTGAGGCCAGGAGTTCGAAGTCAGCCTGGGCAACATAGCAAGATTCCCATCTCTATTAAAGTTTTTTAAAAAATGAGCCCAGCCCAGGCATGGTGGCTCATGCCTATAATCCTACACTTTGGGAGGCCAAGCCGGGAGGATCACTTGAGTTCAGGAGTTCAAGACCAGCCAAGGCAGCCTAGTGAGACCTTGTCTCTATTATTATTAAAAAAGAAAAAAAAAACTACCCAAGCATGGTGGTACACGCCTGTAGTCCCAGGCTGAGCTGGGAGGATGGCTTGAGTCCAAGAGTTTGAGGCTGCAGTGATCATACCACAGCACTCCAGCTTGGGCAACAGAACAAGACCCTGTCTCTAAAAAATAAAAAATAAATGGCTGGGCATGGTAGCTCACACCTGTAATCCCAACACTTTGGGAAGCCAAGGCGGGTCAATCACCTGAGGCCAACATGGTGAAACGCCAACTCTACTAAGAAAATACAAAAAATTAGCCAGGTGTGATGGCAGGTGCCTGTAATCCCAGCTACTCCGGAGGCTGAGGCATGAGACTCACTTGAACCCAGGAGGCGGAGGTTGCAGTGAGCCGAGAGTGTGCCACTGCATTCCTGTCTGAGCAACAGAGCAAGATTCCTCCCCCGCCACCAAAAAAAAGGGTATAGGGTATGATGGGGATAATGTGGGCTGAAACACTCCCTGCACCCTACAAAGGCCCTCTAAGGAGCTCTGGTGACCCCAGGCTTGCCTTGCTGGGTTGTTGAGAGAGGAAAAATGAAGAACTTGGCAGTGCCACCAGGGCCTGGTGTTCAGCGGCCCTGGGAAGTGGCAGCCCCCTCCCTGTGCTGGGAGCCTGGCTGGCAGGGGAGCCTTGGCCTTCCTGGAGAAGGGGGAAGGTGAGCCAGGGCAGCAGCCGCACTTGGTCCCTCCTTATGGATCACTTGTTAGCGCAACCCTGGATCCTTTCTGGAGACTCTGCATCCTCAGCCCCAAAGAATGAGGCACCTTGGAGTCAGAGAACACCTGGTTCTGAAGTCGGGTGGGTGACTGAGATCTGCCTGCTCTGGACCAAAAGTTCCCCCATCTGAGCAATGGGTAGGAGGTAGGAGAGGGGTGGGCTTGTCAGTGCTCAGATGCCAGACAAGGGGAAGTGCCAGGTGCCCTGTGGCTCTGCACTGGCCGGGCACTCGGCATTCCGGAGCCCCTACACCCGGCTTCTGGGCACCACCTCACTTGTAGGACTTCTGCAAGGGGAGAAAATAAAATTGCCCTGCACCTGGCCCGAAGTGGACACAGACTAAATGGTAGCTGCTACTCTTCTGTCCCCTAAAAATAAAGGAAAAGTCTTTGGAGTGATAAGCCAAGTTCTATTTTCAGCTATGTGTGATCTCCTGGCTGTGTGCCCAGGTGGCAAGGCCTCTGTCTCCTCACCTGTAAAACGGGAGTGTGGTGACGGCAGCCAGCTGCCGCCTCAGGATGCTGGGAGGCTGTGTCAAGGGGAGGGGCAGAGCCTGCACAAAAGGAGGGCAGAGCCTCCCACGGGTCCCCTCCCGACCCCAACCCTCAGGGCCACTCACCCAGCCCCAATAGCAGGAGCAGGAAGGAGGCCAGCACCACTCGGCGGTTCTTCTGGATCAAAGGGTGTTGGGTCCAGCTGAGTGGCGGGAGAGCAGGGTGGGTGTGAAGGAGGTGGAGGGAGGGTGTGTAGGAGGCTTTGCGGGCAGAGCCAGGGCTGCCTGACTGGGTCTCCAGCGGGCAGGGCTCACCTGCAGCAAGTGTAGGAGCGCTGGGTGCCGCTGCTGATGGTGCTGAAGGACCACTGGGAGCTGCGGATGGAAGTCCGGCCGGAATCCCTGCAGGACAGGTGCCCAGGGAGGGGCGGGGGGCAAGGACAGGTGTCCCTTTGGGACAGGAGTCCTGATAAAGTGCAGGGTGTGGTACAGGGACTGGGGCTGGGCCCTAAGAGGCCCTGGTGGGTGAGGATGAGACTAGGGATGAGCTGCGGGTTTCTGCAGGACAGGAGACCTCTATGAAGGTGGGGGCCAGACCAGACTGGGGTTTCTGAAAGAGGTGAGTGTGGGTGGGCACTAGGGTAGAGTGGCCCTGCAGTGTAGGGGACCCTGCCAGGAGAGTGAGACTTAAGCTAGGAATCAATAGGACAGGATGGAAGAGAGTGAGTGAAGCCGGGTGGGTGACTGAGTAGGGTCTCTGAGGACAGGAGCCTGACGAGGTAGAGGGGTGGGTCCCCACCTGGCTCTAACCTGGTGCTGACTCCCCCATCCGGCTCCGGAGAGGCCTGGGCTCCGTCCTCATCGTTCTCCAGGTTCTGTGGCAGAACACAGGGTTCAGGGGGGTTGCTGGGCTGGGGCCCTTCCTCACCCTCCGGGGATGAGAGAAAAGCAGGTCTACATAACCGTTCGCCTGGACGCCTGGCAGCTGTTCACCTGGGCTTCCGCCGTCCCCGCAGAACGGGTTTGGTGATTCACAGAAACCGAAACTAGGTAGGAGGTGGGTGGATTCGGGGGCTTTGGGGAGCAGGAGCCTGCACGGGTCCCAGGGAAAGGAGAACTCCCGACTTTGGGAGTCAGGGTGGAACTCTCATTCAGTGGCCTAGAACGAGAGCTTGGGGATTGGGGTGCCAGGGAAGAGCAGGCCCAGGGTTCTCAGCTTCAAGGTACGGGGATCTGGTCCCTGTGTGTCTCCAAGAAAAGGAGCCTAGGGTTCGTGGAGGTTTTCTGGGAAAAATGGGAATTTCCGGTTTAGTGGGAGCCAAAGGGTGGGCAAGGACTGGTGATGTGACAGGGGCTTCAGCTCTTGCGGGTGGCGCCGGGATTGGGGCGAGGGCTTTCTGAACAGAGAAAGGTGTGCGGGTTCCCCTCAGCTTAGCCGGCCTGGGGCACAGAGGATGCTCCTGCGTGTGGCCAAGGTCTGGTTCAGATACAGAGGCGGTCCCCCAGCACAGTGGGGGCCAGGGGCGAGTACTGGGTGGGGACTCGGCTGGGTTCTCCAGCTGGAGCTGAGGGATGAGCTCCCGGGCCAGGGCTCCGGGCTCTTCCCGGCTGGCTGGGGCCGGGTATCGGTGCTGGGAGGGCTTGGGCAGGGCTCTGGATCAGGAGTCACGTCCGGGGGGCGGTCTCGCGCTCCAGCTGGGGACTCTGGGCAGATTCGACCCCAAGTTGAGGCCTTTGAGACCCGGCCTGGGGTCCTGTCCGGCCGGGGGCAAGCGGGTGAGGTGGGCCGGGCGGTTCACCTGGTAGCGCAGCCGGGACTGCTTGTCCTCGTCAGCCACCTCGAACCGGGCCCGGCGCTCGAAGTGCAGTGGCCCAAAGCGCGCGACCCCGCTGGGCTCCGCCCCAGGGCCCGCATCCTCCAGGGACAGCTCGAAGGCATCATCTATGCTGAATTGGGGCCGGGCGGCACTCATTACCCCGGCCCGCTCAGGCGCCCTGCGCCACCGCCATCTGCGCCGGCACGCCTAGCGTCGCCACGGCCCCGCCCCCGTAAGCCCCGCCCCCGAAGGTCTTGGCTCCGCCCCGCGCGCCGTCCCCATCCTGGTCCCCGTCTGCCCTCAGCAGGCCAGAGCTGCCGAGCGCCGAGCGGGCTGATGGGCTGGGGACTCTTCTAGACAGAGCGCGTCCGGCTCGTGACGCCGCTCAGCGGCCGCGGTGGCGAGCGACACATCGTCTCGCGCTCGGACACGCTCCCCGGGCCTGTAGGGGCTTCCATGCCTCAACCTCCAGGTCTCGTACAGGGCCTTTTGCACCCCAACCTGTTCCTCGAGTGCCGAGGAGACTCCTGAGAACCGTTTCCCCACCTTACTCACCACGGCCCAGCACGGAAGGGGTGCTCTCCCCATTTTTGCAGATGTGGAAACTGAGGCTCGAAGAGCTTTTGTGGCTTACACTTCTTCAGTCCAATCCCCACGCAGCAGCCAAAGTGACCTTTTAAAACAAATCTTTTTCTCTGTGTGTGTTATTCTTTTTTTTTTTTTTTTTTTGAGACGGAGTTTCACTCTTGTTACCCAGGCTGGAGTGCAATGGCGCGATCTCGGCCCACCGCAACCTCCGCCTCCTGGGTTCAGGCAATTCTCCTGCCTCAGCCTCCTGAGTAGCTGGGATTACAGGCACGTGCCACCATGCCCATGCCCAGCTAATGTTTTGTATTTTTAGTAGAGACAGGGTTTCACCATGTTGACCAGGATAGTCTCGATCTCTTGACCTTGTGATCCACCCGCCTCGGCCTCCCAAAGTGCTGGGATTACAGGCCTGAGCCACCGCGCCCGGCCTGTGTGTGTTATTCTTAAATAAAACCCGTTTTAAGAATTTTGCTGCTTGGCCGGGTGTGGTGGCTCAGGCCTGTAATCCCAGCACTTTGGGAGGCTGAGGCGGGCAGATCATCTGAGGTCAGGAATTCGACAGGAGCCTGGCCAACAGGTGAAACCCTGTCTCTACTAACAATGCAAAAATTAGCTGGGCGTGGTGGCGCATGCCTGCAGTCCCAGCTACTTGGGAGGCTGAGGCAGGAGAATTGCTTGAACCCAGGAGGCGGAGGTTGCAGTGAGCCGAGATTGTGCCATTGCACTCCAGCCTGGGTAACAAAGAGCGAAACTCCGTCTCAAAAAAAAAAAAAGAAAGAAAAAAAAAAGTGCTGCTAAGTCTCTCTGCTTAAAACCTTCCCTTGGTTTTCCATTGCACTTGGAATAAAATCTGCTCTTGGCTGGGCAGGGTGGCTTACGCCTGTAATCACAGCACTTTGGGAGGCTGAGGCGAGGAGATCACTTGAAGTCAGCAGTGCCAGACCAGCGTGGCTGACATGGTGAAACCCCATCTCTACTAAAAAGACAAAAATTAGGCGGGGCATGGTGGTTCACCCCTGTAATCCCAGCACTTTGGGTGGCCGAGGCGGGCAGATCACTTGAGATCAGGAGTTTGAGAGCAGCCTGGCCAACTTGGTGAAACCCCATCTCTACTAAAAACACAAAGCTTAGCCAAGCGTGGTGACTGATGGGCGCCTGTAATCCCAGCTACTCGGGAGGCTGAGACAGGAGAATCGCTTGAACTCAGGAGGCAGAGGTGGTAGTGAGCCAAGATCATGTCACTGCACTCTCCAGCCTAGGTGACAGAGTGAGAGACTGTCTCAGAAAAAAAAAAAAAAAAAAAAAAAAAATTAGCTGGGTGTGGTGGCATGTGCCTGAGGCAGGAGAATTGCTTGAACCCAGGAAGCGGAGTTTGCAATGTGCTGAGATCATCCCACTGCATTCCATTTTGGGCAACTGAGCAAGACTCAAAAAAAAAAAAAAAAAAAAAAAAAAAAAAAAAAAAAAAATCTGAACTCTTGACTAAGGTCCATAAAGCTCTGAAGGCTCTGGGAACTGTCTGCCCCTCCCAGCATTCCCCCTCTGCCCATTTCCTTCCTGCTCAGCCACACTGGCTTTCTCACATTCTTCCTCCATGGGCCAAGCTCCTTTCTGCCTTGTGGCCTTTGCACCTGCTGTCCCCTGGTGCCAGGAAAACACTTAGCCCTGCTTTTCTCATAGCTGGCTCCCTTCATCATGGGGATCTCTGCTTAAATGTCACCTCTTGGAAATGCCATCCTTGACTGCACAATCTAAAGTCAGTTTTGCATCACACAGCACTTGAAATTATCTCATTTTGCACGGTTTTATTCACCACTGTATCTACAGTGCCCACAACAGTGTTTGGCACTAAGTAGATGCTTAATAAATACTTGTGGCAGAAATGAATGAGGGGTTTGCCAAAGTCTCAATTAATTGCAAATGGCAGAACAGAGATTTGAACCCAGCTCCACCTAATTCACAGACGTACTTCTCCTCTTCCATCCCCACCACCCCACACGGTTCTTTTTTTTTTTTTTTTTTGAGACAAAGTTGTTCTCTGTTGCCCAGGCTGGAGTGCAGGGGTGTGATCTCTACTCACTGCAACCTTCACCTCTAGGGTTCAAGCAATTCTCCTGTCTCAGCCTCCCAAGTAGTGGGGATTACAGGCACAGACCACCGCATCAGGCTAATTTTTGTATTTTTAGTAGGGACAGGGTTTAACCATATTGGCCAGGATGGTCTCAAACTCCTGACCTCAGGTGATCCACCCACCTTGACCTCCCAGAGTGCTGGGATTACAGTGTGAGGCACCACGCCCACCTCGCTCCCACAGCTCATTGTCCAAAGCTCTGCTCCCCCGCTCGCCCCCCTCCCCCCGAGGTATTTTGGTTCCAGTTAGGCTGAGTAGAAGGAAAAACTTTCTCTAGGAGGTCTTGGGCTCCCTCCTCTGACATACTGACTGAATTAAGGAAAAGCTTTCTGGCCTCTCTTTTTTTTTTTTTTTTTTGAAATGGAGTTTCGCTCTTGTTACCCAGGCTGGAGTGCAATGGCGTGATCTCGGCTCACCGCAACCTCCGCCTCCTGGGCTCAGGCAATTCTCCTGCCTCAGCCTCCTGAGTAGCTCGGATTACAGGCACGCACCACCATGCCCAGCTAATTTTTTTTTGTATCTTTAGTAGAGACGGGGTTTTACCATGTTGACCAGGATGGTCTCGATCTCTCGACCTCGTGATCCACCCGCCTCAGCCTCCCAAAGTGCTGGGATTACAGGCTTGAGCCACCGCGCCCGGCTGTCTGGCCTCTCTTTAAATACGGCTCCTTTTCTTCAGATGTAAAAAAGGGTCAGGAGAAGCTGCTGACAGTCATCCCAGGTGGGCCGGTGAGTCCGGAGTATGGACTTAACCAGTGAGGTTAGGACCTGAGATTTCTCAGAGAAAGGTGGGTTTTGAGCCTTCCAGTTGTACAGGTTAGAAGTCGAAAAAGGGGCCGGGCGTGGTAGCTCACGCCTGTAATCTCAGCATTTTGGGAGGCCGAGGCAGGCGGATCACCTGAGGTCAGGAGTTCAAGATTAGCCTGGCCAACATGGTGAAACCCTGTCTTTAAAAAAAAAAGTAAGGCCGGGCTCGGTGGCTCAAGCCTGTAATCCCAGCACTTTGGGAGGCCGAGGCGGGTGGATCACGAGGTCGAGAGATCGAGACCATCTTGGTCAACATGGTGAAACCCCGTCTCTACTAAAAATACAAAAAACTAGCTGGGCGTGGTGGCGCGTGCCTGTCATCCTAGCTACTCAGGAGGCTGAGGCAGGAGAATTGCCTGAACCCAGGAGGCGGAGATTGTGGTGAGCCGAGATCGCGCCATTGCACTCCAGCCTGGGTAACAAGAGCGAAACTCCGTCTCAAAAAAAAAAAAAAAAAAAAAAAAAATGTAGAAAAAGGGACATAGACCAAAAACGGGACAGGTTCACTCACTACCTGGTGGGGGTGGCGTCTCCCCTAAGGGGAGGAGTGGGGCAGCCTCCTCCAGCCGGAGGCCGAAGTCAGGGAGGAAGTCAGGAGGCAGTAGGCAGAGAGACCACAGGAGACCAGGAGGAGGAGACGGAGGGGAATCCCAGGGGAGCAGGAGGCTGAGGGTCGGAGCAAAGGAGAAGTCTGGCTCAGTCAAGGAGGGGTTAGACCGGTCGTTGGGGTGTGGGGTGTGACAATCTAGGTGCCAACAACCTCTAAGGTGCCAGAAATTTCAGATTGGTGGATGTTTAGCACAATTTTTCCCGTGACAACGCATGATCTGTTTTTGACAGAAAAGACAGGACTGAGATGGGATTTGACATGAGATAGAAGTCTGCACGTAGGACCTTGAAAAAGTTTTTTTTACCCGATCGCCTTGGGCATTAAGGACATCAGGACATACAAATTCAAATGCTAGAGACAAGCAGGACAACAGACACGAGACATACAAATCCAGACGTTAGGAACAAAACAGGACAACTGGCACGGAGGTAGATAAGTGATCGTGGCAGTTTTAAGGACAAAGGACTGGATCCTTAGATGCAAGCCTCTAAGGTCCCCAGGTAGTCACACATGCATGCACACATTCATTTAGAGGTTATTACAGTCTTTCACACTTTGTAAACAGTTGGAACCCTGATGAAATTTTTATCTTGTTTGTAAATGTTTCAAATCAGACAGAAACCAAGGGACTCTGTCCTCCAGCGTCCTGGAGTGGCGACGGAGTCCAGGGGGGTGCCCTTATCAGGGCTGAGCCCCTCTAGATCAGGCAGAAGGACAGGACCAGGGACCCCGGACACCCAGAGTCCAGAAGCAGACAGCCAGAAGCCAACAGAACCAGGAACCCTAGACCCCTAGAATTTAAAGACAGAAAAACCAGAACCAGGACTCTTCCAGAGTCCAGAACCTGGAACCAGGACCAGGGACTCTGGGGCACCCAGGGCCCAAGGTCACAGGAATTACCATAGTTAATTCCGCCATCCTGGTAATTGGATGATCCCTGTAACTTCCAGGAGTAACCAGATCAGGCCTGACTTGATCTTACTTTCTCCATTGAGCAGAACCAGGGACTCTGAGGAATAATTTGGTGGAGGACGCTGGGAGTTGATCTGTTCTCCTCTGGCAAG